GACTAATTTTTATGTATTTATTATTACTTGTTGTTGTAACACCATCAAAACGGGTATTAAAATATTTTTTTTTTCTTTTCTTCCTTTTTGTTTCTTCTTTTTTATGGATTTGAGTAGGCGGTTTGAAAATCCTAAATTGGATTTTTTATTACTATTTTTTTGTAATTTTTTCTTTACATTTCTTTTAAAGAAAATAACTTAATTTTCTTCTATTGTTGTTGCACATAACATTTTATGGAGCTCCAAATGGTTCCTTACTCCCACGCAGCACACAAACTCTGATGGAACACCACAAAAAATTGAAGATTATTTCCACCAATGCAACAACAAAGACATTTACAAGCGATAAAAACACACAACCGATTCGATTTTTTTTTTAATTTCAAAATTTCAAGATAAAGAAGTGTTAAAAAATACACAACAATTTTTTTTTTTTTGTTAACACAAAAAAATTCATATACTTCGTTTTTTTGGGTTTTTGGGTGTAGCCACAGTCAGTCAGCCACCATGTAGAGAGAAAGAACCAAGTCAATTGTGGGTAAATGGAGTTAACGGCGTTCACAATTATATCTTCATTTTCACAAAATCTCACAAAAACACTCTCATTTTATATTTTTCCACTTCATTTCAAATTATTTTGCATTTGAATTTAATTTAAATAAATATTTTTTTGTTTGCATTAAATTATTCACAATTCCATTAAAATTAACCCCAGCACAAGGCGGCAGCGACGGCGGCTTAACATCAACTAATGTTTAAACAGGCTTTGTTTTGTTGCTGTGCTGTCGTTGCCTGGTGCGCTTAATCAAACTGCATTTCCCTCTTTCGGTTTGTTAAACACATACACACACAAACACACGTACGCACAAACAAACAACAAAAAATCTTACTGGAACCCCAACCACACAAGACACAGAGTAAACGTTTCTGCTTCTTCTTGCTATTTCACTACTGCTGGCTACACATTACAACACCAACAACACGCACACACATAGAGACAACGACAAGAGCGAACTTGCCTTTTGATAATCCTTGCAATTTCCTGTTTTAAATGGTACACAGATTTCATTTAATTTCCAATATATTTTCTTTTCAGTTATAATTTATCTTATTTTTCTCTATTCTTTTTTTTTTTCTTTTATTAAATAAAACTTTCTTTACTTTTTTTCGACAAATTTTTTTCCGCTATAAAACACGAAGCACTAACTTTCCGCCCCCACACAATAATAAAACTGACTCAGGCAAATGCAAGAGCCGTTGAAAGTCATAGGCCCATGGCTTTAGCGCTAACGGCGTTATGGTTGTCAGCAACTCCCTCTCTCTCTGGCACTCTCAGTTTAAATGAAACCCATAAAAATAACTAATAAACTTCAATTTTTTTGGAAATAATTAAATAAAATAGCATAATTTAATTAATTTAAGTTTAATTTAACATTATTTAACCACAATTTTATACAAAAATTTATAAAACCCAATCAAGCCAGCTGATTTCTTACTCTCTCTCTCTCTCGTATAAATGAAGTTTCTTCTTATTGGCAATTCATAGCAGCCGGAGTATGTTCAGTGTAATCCCTTATGTGGTAGAGTTGTATTTTTTGTGTGTGTTGTGCGCGCCATCCATATACGGCACGAGTTCAAGGTACGGTATTTATTATGCGGAAACAATTAAAATATGCCAAATTCGGGGTATATAAGAATGTTTGCTGGGTAGCATATATGGTAAATATTTATTGCTTTTACCATACTCTTTATAATTGGCCATATTAATTTTGGTTTACATATATCTATTTTCCCTCCAAAATGTTTTCATTAGGCAACATTTTTTTCTTCTTTGATGTGTAAAAAAACGAGGAGACAATTATGGGTTTTATGGACAATTACATTCTTTAAATGTTATTAGAATTGAATGATAGCCAAGTACCATGGTGTTAATAACACTGTTAACACAACAAAAGGGGACAACAAAGTTTTCAGCTCGTGTATTCTTTATTGCCTTTTTAATTTTTGGATAAATTAGTCATCAATAAATATAATGGATTAAACCTTGCAATTAATAAATGAATAAATAATAAAAGACAATTTTTGGTTGTCCATTTTTTATGATTTCAATTCATTATTTGAAATAATTGCTGTTGTTACAGTCCCAACGGCATGTACACTAGAAATATTTATCGGATTAACCTACACATATATGTAATGGATTTGAGAATTTAAACACACTAGGTCAACGAAATCCAGCACAATGTAGTATTAGGCAAAATATATATTTTATTGAGTAAAACATTTATAAACATTGAAAAATAAACTCTAAATAAACAGTTTCATTAATGTTAAATTAAAAATAATTGTTTAATTTGTAATATGTTTAATTTTAAGACGCCAGTCACTATCTCTATCATATTTATCTCAAGAACTGAACATACCCCATTCTAACATGTTTGCCATTTATAAGAAAATGCAGAAAGAAATCAATGCACACAGTTAAAATAATAAATATTTCATTTAATTTTATTTTTATTCGATGAATTTAATTGATTTTTATTAAAAATGCAAAATTATCACGTTTTACATTATGAATATCTACGTTCAATTTTAGGTAGCCCACTATTAAAACGTACCCATTGCATTAACTGAACGTACCACATTTTACGATTGTGAGCAATAATCTATATTATTTTGTGAAAATAATAACTTTTTTATTGGAATTTGGTTTTCTTCAATCTAAATTATACATTTTTTATTGACAAAAATCATATTTTACTCCATTTATAGAAATTGGACCCATTTCTTTAAGATTCACATTATCAATGCTTACGTTCAATGTTAGGTATCATCCCATTGCAACATACCCATGATATTAACTGAACATACCACATTGTAAAATTGTGCAATGTTGATTTGGTAAAAACAATGACGTGAGAATTTGAATGGTATTTAATGTATATTGTTCATATTCGGATTACACATTCACATTTAATTCAATTTATTGTAGCGTACTCCATTTTTGTGTCACAACGTTACGTTCGATTATGTGTAGCTCCCATTTAAAATACATCAGCGGCATTAACTGAACATACTCCAATGCAATTTTTTCCCGCATTTAAATTAACACTTTATTTGTAAAAATAATAAAAGTTATATGGATTTTATGCTTTAAATAAATCATTATATTGTTTTTCATTATGAATTTATAATTTGTTGTGAAGATTTTGAGTTAATACGCTCAGCTTTCAATTTGCCACCATTTTACGTTCACTTTTAAGTAGCACCCGTTCAAAATACATCTGTGGCCTTAACTGAACATACTGCAATGCATTCAAAATAACACTTAATTTGTTAATATATTGATTATTAAATCCATTTTCGAAATTAATTACATTATTTTAATTATTTTCTTGCTGTTTATTCATTTTTATGACTTAATTTGAGGAAATGTACTCTTCTTATATTTTGCCACAATGTTACGTTCAATTGTTGGTTGCTCCTTATCAACACATCTGTGTCATTAACTGAACATACCTCATATTGACATTTGTCGCGCCAGTCGCATTAAAATTGTGCACAAAATTCTATTTTATTTGTGAAAATAATGTAAATTACAAAAAATTAAATTTTAAATAATTAACTTTATTAAATTTTCATTACAAATTCATATATTATTATTTAATTTGTTAGTATCTATTTAAAAACAATTACATTGCAAAAGGTAAGACAGCCAGTCAAAAAACGAACGCAGAACATTTCTCTCTCACTTCAAAGCCAATCGTCGTTGTGTGTGGTGGTTGGCTCGTCGGTCTCGGTACGAAAGCAAACACGTGAAGAAAATATAAGAATTTTTAATTCTGAAATTTTCTTCGTTTCGTTTATTTTTTACGAAGAAATCCAGAAAAAGTGAAACAGAACAAAGCTGAAAACAAAAAAAACGACAAAAAGATTTAAAAGGAAATTGGTCACAAAGAAAAAAGTTGAATCATACCATTTTTTTTTTCGTTGAAATTAATAATTGAGCTTTGTGAGTAGTAAAAGGGGAAAAAAGTATTATGGTGTTGTGAATGTGTGTGTGCCTGCATGCGGAAAATTTTGTGATTTTTTTGGTCGTATATAATCATTTTTTTCTTCATCGCATTGCCTTTGATTGGAAAGGTATCAGGTATTCATGCTTTTTATGGCAAAATGATGGTGTTTGTAACAATAGATGATTTCGATTATGGGTATGGGCTGGCGTACCGATTTCGTTTTGGTGTTTATTGGATTTTTCATTTTTCAGGGTCAATCATGGTGGAAGTGTTGAGGGCATTAAATATCATTGGGGTTTTATTAACGTTAATGCTTTTTCTCAATTCCCTATGATGAATTTAATATTTTATAAAAAAAATTTGTAATATTTCTTTTTTATAATTATCCATTTCTTTGTTCCATCATTTCGCAGACATGTGCGATTCGTCAATTTCGTCTCTCTCTCTGTGTCTGTTCTTTTTTTACATCGTTCTCTTGTGGGGGTTTCCTCACATTTAATTTTTGTGAGAGAGAATGAGTTGGGGGAGAAAAACGTTTTTTTTTATTGTCAACAATGTAGGGGGTATGTTCAGTGTGTGCCATCATGAAGTGCTGTCATTTTTAGTATGCTGTTGCAGGCACACAAGCAAAGAGGAGCATGTTCATCAATTTATTGCAAGAAATAGAAAAATACGTTAATTTCTTTATTATTTTGCGGGAAATGCTGACAGAAATGGAAAGGAAAAATAATACAGGTCCATTGGAAAAAATATTGGCTAGGTGTTTCAACAATTTTCGTGGTGTTCTGTGTGTTTTTATATGTCCATCCATTGCTCGAGACACCTGTTCAACTTTGTTCTGTTTTGCTCAAGACTATGCCATGAAGCAACTATTTGAATTATTTTGCTAATTTTTGTGCTTCTTTCATCTCTTTTTAGCTAAACTTTTTCCACATTTCTTCGTAAGAGATCAGTGTCACGCTCCCCCCAGGAAAGAAAACCGAACAAAAACTAAGCCACAATGCCTTCGGATTCGAAAAAACGCGATGCCCAACGCAAAAAGGATGCACGCAACAAAAAAATCACCACCGTTTCGTCGTCCAAGAAAACCAATGGTGTCACTAATGGCAATGCTGAACCTCCCCGCGAAATGACCGAAGAAGAGAAATTGTGTGCCAAATTGGAAGAGGAGGCACGCATTTCGGCCGAAGCTAGAGCCTGTACCGGTTCCCTGGCCTCTCATCCCCGTTCACGTGATATTAAAATAGAAAATTTCTCCATAACATTCTTTGGCAGTGAATTGCTGCAGGACACCATGTTGGAATTGAATTGTGGCCGTCGTTATGGTGTTATTGGCCTAAACGGTTGTGGCAAGTCGTCGCTGCTGGCTGTGTTGGGTAATCGTGAAGTACCCATACCCGAACACATGGATATTTTCTATTTGTCACGTGAAATTCCTGCCAGTTCCAAGACCGCCCTGCAATGTGTCATGGAGGTCGATGAGGAGCGTGTTAAATTGGAAAAACTGGCCGAAGAATTGGCCATGAGCGAAGACGACAATGATCAGGAACAATTGATTGATATCTATGAACGTTTGGATGATATGGCTGCCGATTTGGCTGAGGTAAAGGCTGCCCGTATTCTCCATGGTTTGGGTTTTGACAAACAAATGCAACAGAAGCAGGCTAAAGATTTTTCTGGTAAGTGGGGAATACTTTACATTACCCTAATCCAAAGATAATTAATTTATTTTTTCGCATTACAGGTGGTTGGCGTATGCGTATCGCTTTGGCCCGTGCCCTTTTCGTCAAACCCCATCTGTTGCTACTCGATGAACCGACCAATCACTTGGATTTGGATGCTTGTGTCTGGTTGGAAGAAGAACTTAAAGAATACAAACGTATTCTAGTCATTATATCGCATTCCCAGGATTTCCTTAACGGTGTGTGTACCAACATTATCCATATGACCCAGAAACGTTTGAAATACTATGGTGGCAACTATGAAGCTTTCGTACGTACACGCATGGAACAATTGGAAAATCAAGCGAAACAATATGCCTGGGAACAGGATCAAATTGCCCATATGAAAAATTATATTGCTCGTTTCGGTCACGGTTCTGCGAAATTGGCCCGACAAGCCCAATCCAAGGAAAAGACATTGGCCAAAATGGTGGCGCAAGGTTTGACGGAAAAGGTCTCGGATGACAAGGTATTGAATTTCTATTTCCCATCGTGTGGCACCATACCACCGCCGGTGATTATGGTACAGAATGTCAGTTTCCGTTACAATGAGAATACCCCATGGATTTATAAAAATTTGGAATTCGGTATTGATTTGGATACACGTTTGGCTTTGGTGGGACCTAATGGTAAGTTCAGAGTTCTTTCAAAAAGTTTTCAGAGTCCTTTAAGAGAATTTTTAAACAATTTTTCTGACTATTGCAAGGCTTCAGAATCTTTAAAACAAATATATTTTTAATTAATGATTCCTTCAGAGTCCTTGTAAAAATATTTTCGAATTAATCCTGGCTTTTAGAATCTTTGAAAAATATTTTTTTAATTTAATGTTTTATGAATCGCTCTTGGCCCTTTGGGCTAGATTCTCGTTTATGAAATAAATTGAAATTGAAAATTGAGGCCTTCCGAATCCTTGAAAAATATTCCCGAAATAATCCATACCTTTGGAATCCTTGAAAAAATATTTCCAAAAGTATTCCGAACTTCGGAATCTTAAAAAAAAATTTTCTAATTAATCTTGGCCTCCAGAAACCTTGAAAAAAATCCAAAATAATCCAGGCTTTCGGGAACCTAAAACCAGGCCTTCGGGAACCTTAATCCTGACCATCGGGATCCTAAAAACTTATATTTTCTAATTAATCCAGACCTCAAGAAACCTTAAAAAACATTTTAAATATAATTTAGGCCAGCAGGAACCTTTACAAAATATTTCCTAATCTATTCCGATATTTCCAAAATAATCTAGGCCTTCAGAATCTTTAAAAAAATATTTCCGAACTGATCAGAATCTTTATAAAATATTATCTAATTAATCCAGGCCTTCAGAATCCTTAAAAAATGTTGACGAATTGATTCCGACCTTCGGAATCTTTAAAAAATATATTTTTTAATTAATTCAGGCCCCTAAGAAATCCAGAAAAACTTTCCCGGAATAATACAGTCTTTCAGAATTCTTGAAAAAATATTTCCGAATTGATTCCGACTTTCGGAATTTACAAAAATATATATTTTCTAATCAACTCTAGCATTTAGAAACCTTGGAAAAATATTCCCGAAAAAAATCCAGGCCTTCAGAATCCTTAAAAAAATATTTCCGAAATGATTCCGACTTTCCAAATATTAAAAAAAATATTTTCTAATTAATACAGACCTCCCGAAACCGTGAGAAAAATATTTCCAAAAAAAATCAGGGTTTAAGGATCCTTGAACAATTTTTTTCCGAATTGATTTCGACCTTCAGAATCTTTAAAAAAATATTTTTTAATTGATCTAGGCCTTCAGAAACCTTGAAAAAATATTCCCGAAAAAAAATCAGGCCTTAAGAATCCAAAAAAAAATATATTCTAATCAATCCTGGCCTTCAGAAACCTTCCGGAAACCATCCAGGCCTTTAGGAACTTTGAAAAAATATTTCCGAATTTATTCCGACCTTCGGAATCTTAAAAAAAAATATTTGCTAATAATCCAGGTCTCCAGAAACGTTAAAAATATATTTCCGAGTTGATCATCCCGACCTTTGGAATCTTTAAAATATATTTTCTAATTAATCCAAAAAAACATTTCCGAATTGATCCCGACCTTCAGAATCCTTAAACAAATATTTCTGAATTTATTTCGACCTTCAGATTCCTTAAAAAATATTTCCGAATTGATTCCGGCTTTCGCAATCTTAAAAAAATTGCGAATTTTTAAAAAAATATATTTTCTAATCATGGCCTTCAGAAACCTTAACCGATCTTCGATATCTTAAAAAAAATATTCTGAATTAACCCAGTTCTTAAGAAATCTTGAAAAAATATTGCCGGAAAAATACAGGCCTTTATGAACCTTGAAAAAATATTTCCGATTTGATTCCGATCTTTGAAATCTTAAAAAAATCTATTTTCTAATTAATTGAGGCCTCCAGAAATCTTTAACAAATATTATCAATATAATCCAGTCTTTCAGGAACCTTGAAAAAATATTTCCGAATTGATTCCGAACTTCGAATTCTAAAAAAAATATTTTCGAATTAATTGAGGCCTTGAAAAAAATATTTTCAAAATATTACAGGCATTCAGTATCCTTAGAAAATTTCCGAATTGTTTCCGAACTTCGGAATCTTTAAAAGAATATTGTCTAATTAATTGAGACCTCCAGAAACCTTGAAAAAAAATGTTTTTAAAATATTACAGACTTTCAGGATCCTTGTTTTTTTTTTTCTAATTCATCTCAAAGATCCTTGAAAAATTATTTTCTTATTAATCCAGCCCTTCCGAAACCTTGATAATTTATTTTCTAATTATTTCAGCCCCTCTGAATCTTAGGAAATTGTTTCTAATTTTGTTGTTGTGTTTTTTTCTTTCAGGTGCTGGCAAATCAACCCTGTTGAAATTGCTCTATGGCGATCTTGTGCCCACATCCGGTATGATTCGTAAAAATTCCCATTTACGTATTGCCCGCTATCATCAGCATTTGCATGAACTATTGGATTTGGATGCCAGTCCATTGGAATATATGATGCGTGCCTTCCCCGATGTTAAAGAAAAAGAAGAAATGCGTAAAATCATCGGTCGTTATGGTTTGACGGGCCGTCAACAGGTATGCCCCATTCGCCAACTGTCCGATGGTCAACGTTGTCGTGTTGTATTTGCCTGGTTGGCATGGCAGGTGCCTCACTTGCTGTTGCTTGATGAACCTACCAATCATTTGGATATGGAAACGATTGATGCATTGGCTGATGCCATTAATGATTTTGATGGTGGTATGGTGTTGGTTTCTCACGATTTCCGATTGATTAATCAGGTAAGGGAGATAATTATTTTTATGATTTTAATTTTTTTTATCAATTTGTTTTGTTGCTGTTTCCAGGTCGCCGAAGAAATTTGGATTTGTGAAAATGAAACAGTCACCAAATGGAATGGCAATATTCTGGACTACAAGGATGCCTTGAAAAAGAAAATTGTCAACGAAAATGAAAGCAAGGGCAAAAAGAAATAGAATCATTCAACACAAAATCCCAACCACGATAACAACACACAATAATTATAATAAAAAATTGAAACTAGAAATGCTTTGATTTATGTTTCAAACGTAAATTTTTGTTTTGGTTTCAAACACACAACAACAACAACAAAAATATATACTATATTACTAGAACCCTGCTATATTCTTGAAGTGATCGAATTTTTTTTTCAACCCGCCCCTATTTTTATTTTATTGATTTTGAAACTCTATTTTTTATTTTATGTTTATTTTGAAACTCTTTAAGAATAACAAGCAAACAACAACAACATAGATAGAACTATAAAGGTGTTTATTAAAATATTAAAAACAAAAAATAGACAAATTATATAACACTTAAAAACAAAAACAAGCATGTGTACCACACACACATATAACATAAATATATCAAATTTAGAAATTTATAAAAAACAAAATATATAGAGATGATGATATGACGTTCAACAAATCTACACAAATTTCAATGTGATTTTATATGTTAAAACAAAGAATTAATAAAAACTCTCACAATATTAAGTTATATTAAAAAAACAAAAACGAAAACCCTACCCTAACCCAACTTTGCCTACTTTCTGGAAACCAACAACAATCACTTAGCCACCATCAACAACTCCTTCAATCCAGTGGTTTTCAAATGCCCCCAAAAAAGTATTTTTGAAAAAAAAAAACTAAAAACCAATAGATGCTATTTTTTCAAAACCCAATCCTTTTACTTTCTATTTCAAAAATGTCTTTCTTTTTTAAGTTTTTTCCTATTTTGTTTTAATTTTCTGTTATTAACTTTTTCATTAACAATTTGGCCCAATTTTTTATTTTTATAAAATTGTATATTTTCTTTAGAAAAGAACAAAATACTGCAACCTCTATGAATGAAGAAGGTATTTACCCGCCCCCTCAAAATTGAAAGCTAAAGAAAAAAATCATAAACCACAAAAAAATATTGGATGAAATAAATAACGAATAATAATTTCATCTAACCGAAAAAAAAACAAATTGGTGTTTTATTTACAAAAGGGAAGCCTCAGGTGATGATAAGATGAGAAAATTGAAGGTCCTTCAGAATCCTTAAAAAATATTTCAGAGGCACTGCAGACATTCAGAAGCCTTAAAAAAATATTTCCGAATTAATCTGCGCCATCAGAAACCTTTAAAAAAATATTTTCGACTTAATCCCGAACTTCAGAATCCTTAAAAAAATTTGCTAATTATTGCAGGCCTTGAAAAAAGTATTTCCGAATTAATCCGCACCTTCAAAAAATATTTTCTAATTAATACAGGCCTTCAGAAACATTTAAAAAACAATTTAGAATTAATTTCGAACTTCAGAACCCTTAAACAACTATTTTCTAATTATTCCAGGACTTGAAAACATATTATTGAATTAATCCCAAACTTCAGAATCCCTAAAAAAGTGTTTTTCTAATTATTCCAGGCCTTGAAAAAATATTTCCGAATTAACTTCGACCTTCAGAATCCATAACAAAATATTTTCTAATTAACCCAGGCCTCTAGAAACCTTGAACAAATATTTCCGAATCAATCCCGACCTTCAGAATCCCTAAAAATATTTTCAGAGACCTTCAGAACCCTTAGAAAATATTTTCTAATTATTCCAGGCCTTGAAAAAAATATTTTCGAATTAATCCCGATTTTCAGAATTCATAAAAAAAACATTTTCTAATTAATCCAGGCCTTAAGAATCCATAAAAAAATATTTTCTAATTAATTCAGGTCTTCAGAGACATTGAAAAATATTTTCGAATTAATCCGCACCTTCGGGATCCTCAACAATTGTTTTCTAATCTTCAGAATCATTAAAAAATATTTTCTTATTAATTCAGGCCTTCAGAAACCTTTAATTTTTTTTTTCGAATTTATCTCGAACTTCAGAATCATTAAAAAAAATATTTTTCAGAAAATTTAAAACAAAAATATTTCCGAATTAATCCGCACCTTTAGGACCCTCAAAAAATAATTTCTAATTATTACAGACCTTCTAAAAAATATTTTCTATTGAATCCAGGCCTACGGAGACTTTAAAATTCGAATTAATCCCGACCTATAGAATCTTTAAACAAATATTTTCTAATTAATTCAGGCCTCCAGAGTTCTCGAATTAATCCTCACCTTCAAAATCAAACCCAGGCCTTCAAAATCCTTTCCCAAAATATTTCCCAATCAGATACTTGCTTACATAGCTTGTTACAGAAGCCGAGTTAAGCCGAGCTTAAAAAAGATCTTTCTTGTGCGCAAATTTGAAAGACCAAAATGTTGTTTTCTACTTGGTATTTCCATCTGATTCGTGGCCTTCCCCTTCTACGGGAACCATCAGTTGTTTCGTTTTTACAGCCTTTTGAGCTGGAACATGGCCTAGCCATCGAAGTCGCTGCAGCTCAATACGACTGACTGTGTCGATGTCCGCGTATAAATTGTAAAGCTCGTGGTTCATTCGACGCTGATATTCACCGTCGACGCAGATCGGCCCGTAGATCTTTCGGAGAATTTTTCTTTCAAACACCCCAAGAGCTGCCTCATCTGCTTGCGCAAGTACCCATGCTTCAGATCCATATAACAGCACGGGTAGTTTCAGCGTCTTGTAAAGTGTGAGTTTGGTCTGGCGGAAGGAGACCTTGTTTCTAAACTGCTACTTAGACCATAGTAGCATATTTTGGCCATCACAATCCTTCTCCGAATCCTTAGGCCGTTATATTTCTTGATTTTTTCTAAGCAAAACAGGTCCATGTTGCTACAGAGGGCTTGAAAATGTATTATCTAATTAATCCAGGTGTGGTCAGTCCCTGGAAAAAATATTTTTATTAATTTAGGCCTTTAGGTTTTGTAATTAAACCTGTTAGTCAGAGTCCTTGAAACATTTTGCATTAGCCTAGGCCTTCAGAATTCTCGAAAAATGAGTCCCTGGAAAAAATATTTTTTCCAGCCCTTTAGAAACCTTAAAAAAATGTTCTAATTAAACCAATTCTCTAGGATTCTTAAACAAATATTTTCTAATTAATTTTGCATACCTTTTTTAATCCTTTCAAAAATCTTTATCCTTTTTAATCCATCTTTGCTTCTGATAATTCCCACCAAAAATAGATTCCTTTTGAAATCCATAAAAAATTGCTTTGCAAAGTAATTGTTCGCTTCTTAATGCTTATAAAATAGACTGTATGTTGTTCTCTTTCCTCATTTACAGGTTTTTTTGTGATTTGCATACCATTTTTTAAATAAATTTCTTTAAAATTTCTATTTAATTTTAATTAAAATCAAATTACTCCCCCAACGTCTGCTATAGATTTCAATCAATTGTCAACTGTTTGCCCCCCCATATGTTTTATGAAAAGCGCAAAAACAACAACAATCATACATCATGATCATTCAAATGGTGGGAGGCATGTTAATGCGTTGTGTATGTGGGTGATTTGTCAATGCACTTTGTTTGTGAGAGTGCTGCAGTCATGCTCTGCCTTGAATGACAACAATCTCTTGAGAGCAACCGTTGTTGCTGCTTTGTTGTCATTTATTTTTATTGTGAAGCCATGAATATTCAATTAAAGAATGGAATCTAATCAAACGAATTAAAGTTAAATAAAGAAAACAAAATAAGAATTGTTTTTTGAAGATAAAACAAACAACAATAACAATATAAAAAAACAATAATTATGTATTATTAAAGTGGCGGCAGTTATGTTGTTGTGTTGTGTGTGGCTGAGTTGACAGTGCACTTGGATGGTGAAAGAGAGCTCCAATACACTTTGATAATGAGAGAGCTCCAATGTTATTCTCAGGCTTGGATGACAATCTCTTGACAGCAGTCGCTACTACTGCTGCTTTGTTGTCACTTTTCTTATTGTGAAGCCATGAATACAAATTAAAGGACTGGAATTTTATTAAAATTAAAGATAAATACAAAACAAAATAATAGGTTCGTTCGTTTACTTTCCCAGTAACATTTACTCAGTAAGAATTTGCAGAGAGTAAATACGAATTTTTCCTTTTCAAGAGAGAAAACTGCAAAAAGTAAACGAACAACATCCAGTAAAAAGATTGTTTCGACACAGCTGATTAAAACAACAAACAAATTGGCGCAAACTATAAAACAGCATTTTTATTAGAAAAATGGATAACAAGCGGAAAATTGATGTTGTTTGTTACCCATAAACATTTAAAAGGGTTGTGACATGTTATTCCTGTATCTGCAATTGATATGGGGGTGGACATAACCGATGGTGTTCCAGACATGTTAGGGATGCACACTTTTTTGTTTCGATTTGGAACCTAAAAAATCGTTCGCCAATTACTCTTATTACTCTTATTTTTAAATACTTGCGTTTTCTTCATCCATTTTGGTATTTAATGATACAAAATCAAAATAAAATTCACAAAACAATCAATTTTCTTGAGAACAATTTTTTGTTTGTTTACAAAACATAACAAAACAGCTGATTAAATATCAGCTGATGGTACAAGAAAATTCTTACTGAGTAAATAGGTGTGTCTGGTTACTTTCCCTGCAGGAATTGTCCAGTAACTTCTTTCTGAGAGAGTAAGGTAGTTTTATTCTCTTTTGCAAGAAAAATGCGAAAAGTAAACAGACGGCATCCCTGCAGAAGCTTGCAACTAATCAGCTGATTTGTCAAAACAAACCAATTTGTCCGCCATTATAAAGAATTAAAAGAAAGAAAACACAACCAGTTTAACAAAAACAAAAACAATTAGTCTTGCTAATTCCAAAAAAAATTATTTTCAAATTGAAAGCACAAAAATAAATAAACAAACAATAGAAAACATCTGATTGAATGTCGATGTATGAGAAGAAGAAGAGTTGCAAGAGATTGCAAGAAGAAATTTTTCCAGCAAGAATTTGCAAACTCTCACTGAAAGAACTGTCAAAATTTCTCTCTCCAACCGCTCTCTTTTGCAGAACTTTTGGGTTAACAGACGACTTCCAGTAACAATTTGTAACAATTGTTACAAACTTTAGGGTAACCAGACACACCTAATTTTCCTTGTAAGAATTTGCAAATACTCAGTAACACAACTGTCAAATCTGCTCTCTCAATTCACTCTCTTTTACTGGACTTTTGGGTAAACGAACAACATTTTGTAATAATTTGTACAAATTCGTACAAATTATTGAGTAAACGAACGAACCTAATAATTGTGTGTTTTTTTAATTAAAACAACAACAATATAAAATCATATAATGAGCAATTGTCAACTGTTTGTCTCCCATATGTTTAATGAAAAGCGCAAAAACAACAACAAGCATACATCATGATCATTCAAATGGTGGGAGGCATGTCAATGCACTCTGTGAGAGTGCTCCAATGTCATGCTCTGCCTTGAATGGCCACAATCTCTTGAGAGCAACCGTTGCTTCTGCTTTGTTGTCATTTTTTTAGTGAAGCCATTAATATTAAATTGAAGAATGGAATTTTACCAAAAGAATTAAAGTTAAATATAGAAAACAAAATAACAATTGTTTTTGTAGATAAAACAAACAACAACAATAACAGTATAAAATCATATAATGAGCATTAAAGTGGCGGCAGGCATGCCCCGTTGTGTTGTGTGTGAGTGCGCTGACAATGCACTTTCATAGTGAGAGTGAGCTCCAATGCACTTTGATAATGAGAGAGCCCCAATGTTATTCTCTGCCTTGAATGACAACAATCTCTTGACAGCAGTCGCTATAACAGCTGCTTTGTTGTCGTTTGAACCCAAGAATACAAATTAAAGAAAAATAGTTTTATTAAAAAAATAAAATTGAAATACAAAATAAAAAAACATTTGTTTTGAAAACAAATCCACATATAATGATCATTAAAGTGAGAGTGAAGTGTTATGGTATCTCCTCAATGTGTGACAGTGTGTATGCATATTACTTATAGCCGTCCCCTATTTGTCGGATTCCATGGTACAAAGACTACTACTAGTTGTTGTTGGTGCAGTGATCCAGGTTTGTTATCAGTAAACAAAATATACATATATCAGTTTATTATGTTAATTATTTGTTGTTATTCTCTTTTTCTTTCTTTTTTTCGCTACACAGACAAGAAAAGACAAAATAAACAAGTATACATAAGATAGTCTCAATTAGCTGGTTGTGGGGTTTTGTTCCAGCCAGCCTACCAGTCAGTTGTGAACTATCTACTCCACGAAGATGACAAGCTCCAACGCCACCACCTTGTCCCTGAAAGAAATCGTTGAACGTGAAAAACATTTACGCACCTCTGATAAATTGCGCAAAAGTGAAATAATTAAAGAACTTCGTGGCAATATTTTGATATTGAAAATCAATCGCCCGGCCAGCAGGAATGCCTTAAATCGTAATGCTGTTTACGATTTAATTGCTGCCATTGGTGAAGCCACCCATAATCAAGATGTAAAAATGATATTACTAACCGGCTATGGGCAGGTTTTTTGTGCGGGTACCGATCTTAAACAATTGCAGGATTATCCTAACCCTGAAGATTATTTTTATGGGGCAAATTATATCTTAAGATCTTTGGTCAAGACGATTATTGTGTGCCCCAAAATCATTGTTGCCCTAATAAATGGTCCATGTATTGGTATTGGTTTTACGCTGGCCGCTCTCTGTGACATTTGTGTCTGCACCAAGGAGGCATATTTTCAAACACCATTTTCCCAGTTGGGTTTATGTGCCGAGGCATGTTCATCGTATACTTTCGTGCAGCATTTTGGCCAATCATGGGCTTCCAAGTTGTTGCTGTTTGGTGAAAAACTTTCTGCCGAAAAAGCCGAGCAATTGGGTTTTGTCACCCGCATTTATGTTGACTTGCAGGATGTTGAAAATCGATTGTGGCCTAAACTTGAAGAATATTCACGACTACCATGGGAGTCGGTGGCAATTAGTAAGAATTTAATGCGTTTAAATCATCGTGAGCAGCTGCTGAAGGCATTGGAGGCCGAACTCAAGGAAATTGGTAAATTACGTCGGGGGCCAGTTTATCAGAAAGCCATTGCTGATTTTCTACAAAAATCGAAAAGTCAAAGTAAACTTTAAGTTAAATTCCAACAACTATGTTTGTATATACATTTTTTTTGTATAATTAATAAAGGGATATAAATATTTTATAAAAAAATTTAATTTTTTCAAATATTCTGAAGGTCGGGAGTAACAGAAAAAAAAAATTTGAGGATCCTGAAGATGCGGATTAATGCGGAAATATTTTTCAAGGTCTCTGAATTAATTAGAAAATATTTGTTTTAAAAATTCGGAAGGTCCGGAGTAATTCGGAAATTAATTTTTTCAAGTATTCAGAAGATTTGGATTAATTCGGAAATACTGTTTTTAAGGTTTCTGGAGGCCTGAATTAATTAGAAAAAAATTTTTTTTGAGGATCCGGAAGTTGCGGACAATTTCGGAAACATTTTTAAAGGTCTCTGAAGGCCTGGATAAATTAAAAAATAGTTTTTTTAGGGATGCTGATTCTAAAATATTTTTTTTGAGGATCCTTAAAGTCAGGAGGAATAAGAAATATTGTTTTGAAGATCTTGGAGGTGCGGATTTATTCCGGAATATTTTTTCAAGGCATCTGAAGGCCTGGATTAATTAGAAAATATTTTTTTATGAAGGAGCGGATTAATTTGAAAATATTTAAGGGTTCGGGAGGCCAGCATTATTTCGAAAATACTTTTTGAAGGTTCCTGGAAGCTTGGATTTCCGGAAATATTTTTTTCAGGATTTCTAGAGGCTTGGATGATTTCCGAAATATATTTTGAAGATCTAGTTAGGAAATAGTTTTTTTTAGGCCTGGATTAATTAGAAACGGGTTTTTGAGGATCCTGATTTCGCGGATTAGTCGGCAAATATTTTTTTCAAGGCTTCCGGAGGCCTGGATTAATTAGAAAATATTTTTTAAAAGATTCTGTAGGTCGGGAGTAATTAGACAATATTTTTTTGAGGATCCTGGAGGTGCGGATTAGGTCGAAAATATTTTTTAAAGGTTTCTGGAGTCAAGGATTAATTAGAAAATGTTTTTTTTTTTTAAGATTCTGAAGGTCGGGAGTAAATCGGAAATAGGTTTTCAAGCATTCAGGACGTCTTGGATAATTTGGATTAGTTCGGAAATATTTTTTCAAGACTTCTCTGGGCCTGGATTAATTAGAAAATATTTTTTGAGGGACCTGAAGGTGCCCTCTAAAAGCCTAAATTATTTCCTAAATAGTTTTCAAGCCCTCTGAAGGCCTGTATTAATAATAAAACATGTTTTTTGAGAATTCTAAAGGTTTCGATTTTTTCGGAAATATTTTTTCAAGGTCTCTGAAGGCCTAAATTATGTCCGCAATATTTTTTCAAGGCCTCTGAGAGCCTGTTTTAAGGCTTCTGGAGGACTGTATTAATTAGAAATTATTTGTTTAAATATTCTGAAGGACCCTGAGGGTGCGGATTTGTTCGGAAATGTTTTTTTTTTCAAGATCTCTAAAAGCCTAAATTATTTCCGAAATATATTTTCAAGGCCTGTATTAATAATAAACTATGTTTTTGAGGATTCTGAAGGTCTGGATTTTTTTCGGAAATATTATTTCAATGTCTCTGAAGGTCTAAATTATGCCCGGAATATATTTTCAAGGCCTCTGAGGGCCTGTATTAATAATAAACTATGTTTTTGAGGATTAAAGGTCTGGATTTATCGGAAATATTTTTTCAAGGTTTCTGATGGTCGAAATTATTTCCAAAATATTTTTTCAAGGCCTTGATTAGTTCGAAATTGTTTTTTTTTCAGGAACTCCGAAGGTCTGGATTAATTAGAAAATACTAGTTTTAAAGATTCTAAATGTCGAGAGTAATTCGGAAATATGTTTTTCAAGGCCCCCACGGCGTAGATTTTAAATAATAGATTTTTTTTGTCAAATTCTTGTTTTTGGTTACTTATTTATTTATACATTTCCTTTTGTACTTTATTTATCAACATTGTGGGTGTTATAGAACACTAAAAAAAACCTACATTCCGTTCCTTATTCCAAAACCACATCCGCCAAATCCAGTTGCTTTTCAAAATATTCAGCCACCTGGGAATTGTGACGAATCTGTTTCAGCCATTGGACATAATCCAGTGGGATGCCCGTCTCTTGGGCACCTTTCACCAAGGTTTTTAGATATGTCAATGATGGTTGCCTCTCCGTGGGTACCTTTTCATTGGGTATCAATTTTAAATGGCCCTCCGGTTGGCGACATAAATGATATGCCCGGCATTCAATGTGCTTATTAAAAGGTGGACAATAAACATCGACCGTGATGGGTGTATAAATGCCTTCGTGGACACCTTCTTGACTGGAAGCCAACAAAAAAGAGACATTTGAAGATGTTTTAAACTTGTAAGAATCCGAATACCCACTTGTCTAAATGCTCCAAATCACTGCCATCAATTTCCCAAATGGCACCCCAAACATGATCATTTTTGGTGGGTACAATTGTGGCCGCCGCACCCATCCATCTTTTGGAGGGGAAATAAAAATCTAAACTATAATTCTGCAATAAAAGGGAATTCGTAATAAATTCGATTTGTGTTTTTTTTTCACATACCACTTACCTCTAGTTTCCCTGGACCCACTCGTATGGCTGTGGGGTTTTGTATGTGTAATCGTTTGGCCAAGAGATTGCTGCCAAAACCAAAATAATAAAATTTCGAAGCCATCTGGAGTTTATGGTTTGTACTGAATTTTCTGGTTTCAGTCTTGAATCGTCAAATGGTTGCCGGTCAGCTGTTTATAGAAAGGTCATGGTAGAAATGTCATAAAAAGGAAAATCATTTTCTTTCATTTCTTTTTTGACAATTCAATAATAAAACCCACCACATTTTTTGTTTACTTACCTTTCCAGGTCCATATAAATGAGGGCGAAACCTTCCTTCCTAAAGAATTCCAAAAATTGTTGGTTCCAAATTGTTGGCCGCTGATAAAAATTGCACGGCTGTCATGGAAAAATAGTTTTGTTTATTATTTGTGTGATTGTTGTTGTTGTTGTTTACATGATAAAGTAGCTGTCAAAAACATCATTATTACCACTTTCACTTTATGAGGGAATTTTCCGGGATTTTCCAAATTTGGGATTTTCTAAATTCCTTAGGTGAAAATAAATAAAAAATTAAAATATTGGTATGCTATAAAAATACAAACTAAAGAAATCCACACAAAATTCCACGCCTAAGGGATGCTATATAAAATACAAATTTAAAAAAAAATTATGCCTTGAGGATGCTATAATAAATATTATTTAAGCAATTCCCTGCCTAAGGGATGCTATAAAAAATGTAATTTTAAAATTCCACGCCTAAGAGGATGCTTTAAAAACAAAAATTAAAAAAATCTACGACTTAGGGTTTGCTATAAAAATTGAATATTTTAAAATTTATGCTGTAAAAAGTACCAAATTCAAAATCGGCGTCATAGGGATGCTATAAAAAATATAACTTAAAATATCCGCATCTTACGGATACTATAAAAATAGTAATTAAAAAACATACGCCATAGGGATGCTATAAAAAACACAAATTAAAAAATCTACTCCATTCGGATGCTATAAAAATTAAAAACAAAAATATATACGTCATAGCGATGCTATAAAAAGTACTTAATCAAAAATCTGCGTCTTAGCGATGCTATAAAAAATACGTATTAAAAATTTCACGACTTAGGGATGCTCTAAAAATATTATTTAAAAAATCCAGCGTTAACGGGTTAGGTTCACTCCTCCCAGTGATGGCGGGCGGAAACTAGGATTCTTAGGTTTCCTAGTAAAGAGCCCTAAATCTGTCTTAGTGGGGTTTACACCAAGACCTTTGGCGTATGCCCAGGTCTGTCTTAGTGGGGTTTACACCAAGACCTTTGGCGTATGCCCAGTTAGACAGGGTTGAAAGGGCGCCCTCCAAAATATCTGCAATTGTCATTAGAAACTTACCCCCAACCAGCAGGTCTACATCATCGGCATAGGCTACAACCTTTATCCTAAGATGATCGAACTTCAGCAGTATCTCATTAATCACCAGAAGCCACAGAAGGGGAGATAGTACTCCTCACTGTGGTGTGCCTCTGTTGACAGATTTCCTCACAGAACTCTCTCCTAAGGATGAGTTGATAATTCTGCTTTCCAGCAATCTATCAATCCATTCCGTTAGTAGTGAATCGAAACCTGTGTATACGAGAGCCGAATGGATGGCTTCTAGCTTCACATTGTTAAAAGCTCCCTCAAAGTCGAGGAATGATGCCAAAGTGTAGCCAGAGGACTCCATATTCTTCTCGATGCATCCAACCACCTCATGTAAGGCTTTGATGTATGCATGTTGGGAGTGTTTCTAATTTCTGAGTCTAATAACCTTTCTAAAGTCTTGAGTAGAAAGGAAGAGAGACTAATCGGTCTATAGTCTTTTGGTAAAGTATGACTCGGCTTTCGGGATGAAGATCACTGTTACCTCTTTCCATAGACTAGGTATGTACGATTGAAATAGACAAACCCTAAAAATGTCCTACAGAAAGGCTAATACTCGTTCAGGACCAGGAGACTTATAGGGTTGAAAATTATTTATCGCCCATACCTGTTTTGGGTAGCTTATAGTATTTTCTATCAACTTCTCTTCCTCACTCGTTCGAACTATAGGCTGATAAATTTTCAAATTTATTCAGGCCTTGTGAGGCCTTGAAAAATATTTTCAAATAAATTCAGTCCTTCGGAATCCCTGGAAAAATATTTTCTAATTAATACAGACCTTGAAAGAATATTTTCAAATTAATCCAGCCCCTCAGAATCCTTAAAAAAATATTTTGTAACTAATCTAGGCTTTAGAACCCTAGAGAATTTTTTCTAATTAATCCATACCATCCAAAAAAAAATTATTAAAAATCCGTATTGTTTTTTTTAATTAATTAATTTGTTTGTTTATTTAATTGAACTTCTTTTTTAATTATTTATTTTATTTTTAAATTTTTATTATGTATATTTTTTTTTAATTTTGTTATTATATTTTTTTAATTTGTTTTATTATAATAACATTTTTTGTTTATTTTCTGTTTCAAAACTTTTTTTGTGTATATTTTTGGATGTTTTTTTCGATTTGTAAGAGATTTAAATATGATTTTAAATGTTTAGGAATTTTGTTTATATATAATATATACTATAATATATAATAATTTGTGTAAAGGTTTAATTATGTATATATAGATTTTTGTTTATATATTAAAATGTGTATTTTTGTAAAAATAAAAAAACAAATATTTGTTTTTTTTATTGCAAACAGACTAGCAAGGATTAATAAATTAATAAAATTAAATTAATTATAGAAATATAAAAACAAGTTTAATTAAAAAAATATTATTATTAATTAATCTAAAAAAATAAAAGAATAATAAATAAAAAATATAATAAAACATTATTAAAAAAATAAAATAAAAATGTTTTTATTATTATAAAACAATAAGAGAAATTATTTTTTTTTTCTAAGGAAGGATTGAATTCAAGATTTAATCTTGAAAAAATATATAATGAAAATTAATTACCCTGCAAGCCTGTTATTAATTTGTTTTTTGTATTTAAATATTATCAGTTATTTTTTATTAAATTCAACTATTTAACTTTTTTATTATTATTTTTTATTAATTTTGATATTAGGTTTTTTTTTAATTGTTATTAAATTTTTTAAGATTTTTTTTTAATTTTTTTCTTGTCATTATTTTTTTAATTTATTTAAATAATAACATGTTTTTAATTATTATTATTTTTTAATTTTTTTAAAATTTTTTTTTTAATTTTGTCAATATAAAAATTATTTAAACAAATGAAAATAATAATAAATAAAAACATAATTTTTTATTTTTTTCATTATTTTTTATTTAATTTATTTGATATTACCAAGGTTTTAATTTTTTTTTATTATATTTTGTTAATTATTATTTTTTTAATTTTATTAATTTTTATTTTTTTTTAAATTTATTAATTTTTATTTTTTTTTTTTTAATTTTGTTAATTTTTATTTTTTTAAATTTTTTTTTAATTTTGAATTTTTTTCTTTCAGTTTTTGTCTATAAAAGAAATGTTTGTTTTTTTTAAATAACTATTTTTTTGTTTGACTTTGTAATAATAAAAATTTGTTTATGTAAATCTTTATAACAATGATATATAATATAATAATAATATTAACTAGATTGTTTTTTTTTTATCTTTAAATACATTTATGTATATATATATATATATATATATGTTTTGTATATGTATATATATAATATCTATATTTTATATAATTTTATTATAACAAATGGTTGAAAAAAAATCTTACAACTTTTATGGGGGTATATTTTTTTCAATTTTTTTTTTTGGCTTTGTGTGTTTGTTTGTTGTTGTTTTTTTATTAAGTGTTCATTGTTAACATGTGTTTGTTTTTAAATTTAATAATATATATTTTTTAAATATTTATTTTATTTTGTTTGTGTAATATTGCATTGTTTAGTTGATTTTTTATTGTTTTCCATTACTTTGTTTTTTAAATTCTAAAAAATATTTAAAAAATCAATTATTTTTATAGAGAGCAACATTTCAATATTTTTTGAAAAGCTAGTGGAGGAGTTTCAAAAATTTTTGGGACATATTTTTTTCTTATCATTTTGAACAAAGAAACCATTTAGATATAGAAAAGAATAGTTTTTTGGGGATTTTGTTTTTTTTTTATTAGGAATTCTGAAACGCTAGGAATTTAATTTCTAAAACAATAAAATAAAAAAATTTGAAATAGGAAGCACTACATTAGATATTTTATTTTTTTTTTTAATTATTGAAATTGTAACAGTGTTGTTGTTATGATTCGAATTTATATATATATTTTTCCATAAGAGCGAAAAAAATGTTTCCATTTTTTTTTGTTTTGTTTTAAATTTAAAAATTTAACATTTTTGTATTATTTTTATTAATATATTTTGTATTTAATATTTATGTATATATATTTTTATTTATATATATCTTAGGCATAACAATGTTAACATGTTTTTGTTCATATTTGAATTATTGCACTATTTCTTTCTTTGTTAAAAAAAATTTAAAAAATAGTATAAATATTAAATACAGAAAAATTAAAAAAAAAATTAAAATTACAAAAATAAATATTACAAATTTAATTTTAAAATTAAACCATTTAACAAATACAGAAAAATAAAATAAAAAACAATATAAAATACATAAAAAATTAAATAATTAAAATTACAAAAATAAATAAAAATTTACAAAATTGAAACTTTAAATAAATTTAATTTTTAAAATTAAACCATTAAAATAAACATTGAAGATCAATTTATGTATTCTCATTTAATATAAAAAATTCAAGACCATATTTTTTTTAAATATAGAAAAAATTCAGAGGTTAGAATTTTTTTTAAATTCATTTTTTGAAAATAATTTTACATAAAAAATCACTACAAACAATGAGGTATACAATTAAAATCTTTATGGTTACTAAGACTAAAAAACACAGTAGATATCCATCACAAACCTCTACTGCACAGTAGATGTTCATCAAAAACGTCTACTACACAGTAGATGTCCATTGAAGACCTCTATTACAAAGCAGATGTCCATTGAGGACTTCTACTATACAGCAGATGTCAATTGAGGATCTCTACTACACAGTAGATGTCCTTTCGGAACCTCTACTACACAGTAGAAAACCTTTGAAAACCTCTACTATACAGCAGATGACCATTGAGGACTTCTACTACACAGTAGATGTCCATTGAGGACTTCTAGTATACAGCAGATGTCAATTGAGGAACTCTACTACACAATAGATGCCCTTTCGGAACCTCTACTACACAGTAGATGTCAATTGAGGACCTCTACTACACAATAGATGTCTTTAATGAACCTCTACTGCACAGTAGACGTCTATCGAGGACCTCAGCTTCCCAGTAGATAGCCTTTGAGAACACCTACTACACAGTTGATGTCCATTGATAACCTCTACTGCACAGTAGATGCCCATTGAGAACCTCTACTACCCAGTAGATGTCCATTGAGAACCTCCACTATCCAGTAGATGTCCATTGAACGCCTCTACTACACAGTAGATGTCCATTGCGAACCTCTACTAGCCACTAGATGACCATTGAGGACCTCTTCTACACAATAGATGTCATTTCGGAACCTCTACTACACAGTAGATGGCCATTGAAAACCTCTACTACACAGTAGATGTTCATTACAAACCTCTAATGTACAGTAGATGTCCATTGAGGGCTTCTACAACGTAGCAGACGTTCATTGATGGTCTCTACTACATTGTAAATGTCCTCTGAGAACCTCCACTACGCAGGAGATGTCATTTGAGAACCTCTACTGCACATTAGATGTCCATGGAGGACCTCAACTACCCTGTAGATGTTCTTTGAGAACCTTTAGTACACAGTAGATGTCCATCGAGGACCTCAACTACCCAGTAGATGGCTTTTGTGAACCTCTACTACCCAGTAGATGGCCTTTGAGAACCTCTACTACCCAGTAGATGTCCTTTGAGAACCTCCACTACACAGTAGATGTCCATTGAGAACCACAGTAGATGTCCATTTTTTATATTTTTTTATAAAAGTATTTAAAAAAAATTTCCGATTTTTTAAAAAATCCCTAACTTAATGAAAATTTGTTTAATTTTCTTAAAAATATTAAATAAAATAATATTCAATTTTTTAAACTTTTAAAAAATATTTAAAATAATTTTTTTAAATAAAACTAATAAATAAAAATAAATTGCACAAATAATTTAAAAAAATAATAAATAAAAATATAGTTTTTTGTGATATATAACACACACATTTTTTGTAAATATCACATAACAAAATTAAATTAAAATTAAAAAAATAAATAAAATCATTTTCAAAATTCTTCTTATTCTTCTCCTACATTATTCTTGTTCGTAAATTACTTTATAAGTAACTTTCAAAATTATTTTCATTCGTTTTCCCTCTCCCTTTCTAATCCACATAATCTCTTATAATTAATTCACGCTTTGTATAGATTATACCCGTATTTGTGTTGATCGCTGCTGCAGCTACTGAGGAGCCGCCTGTTGTATTGGTTTTTGTTGTCGGACCAATAATGGCCCTAGCATTGGGTGAGAAAAGTTGAACATTGGCATAGGTTGCATTTAACGAATTTAAGGTTATTTCACATTCATCATCATCGCTGGGGCTAAGTAGCAGGGCATTATTGTTCGATTCGTGTTGATTATTGCTGTTGCTGCTGTCGTGTTCTGTGAGCTGTTGTTGTTTGCTGCGCAATTCATTGATTTCATCCTGTAAACGTTGATTGCTCAAACGTAAATTTTCATTTTCCGTAAGGCACTCGCGGAGGCTGGTGAAAAAAAAGAAATCACACAGAATTAGTTTAAAAATTCAGGCCGAAAAAAGGAAAATGTACTTTGAAGACCTCTACCACACAGTAGAAGTCCATTGAGAAACTCTACTATACAGTAGATGTCTATTGATAACCTCTACTACCGGGTTGCTGCCCTATTATGACCTCTATTACACAGTATATGCCCTTTGAGAACCTCTACTGCACAGTAGATGTCTATCGGGGACCTCAACTACCCAGTAGATGGCCTTTGAGAACCTCTACTGCACAGTAGATGTCCATTAAGAACCTCTACTGCACAGTAGATGTCCATTAAGAACCTCTACTGCACAGTAGATGTCCATCGAGGACCCCACCTACCCAGTAGATGGCCTTTGAGGACCTCAACTACCCAGTAGATGTTCATTGAGAACTTATATTACACAGTAGATGTCCATCGAGGATCTCACATACCCAGTAGATGGCCTTTGAGGACCTCAACTACCTAGTAGATATCCTTTGAGAACCTCTACTGCACAGTAGATGTCCTTTGAGAACCTCTACTGCACAGTAGATGTCCTTTGAGAACCTCTAATACACAGTAGATGTTCTTTGAGAACCACTACTGCACAGTAGATGTCTATCGAAGACCTCAACTACCCATTAGGTGCCCTTTGGGAACCTCTCCTACACAGTAGATGTTCATTGAATACCTCTACTGTATAGTAAATGTTCATCGAGGACCTCAACTATCCAGTAGATATCCATCGACGACCTCAACTACCCAGTAAATGTCCTTTGAGAAACTGTACTATACAGTAGATGTTCCTAAATTTCCATCGGGGATCTCAACTACCCAGTAGATGGCCTTTGAGAACCGCTAATACACGATAGAAGTCCATTAAGAACATCTACTGCACAGTAGATGTCCATCGAGGACTTCAATTACCTTGTAAATGTCCTTTGAGAGCCTCTATTACACAGTAGATGTCTATCGAGGACCTAAACTACCCAGTACATGTCCTTTGAAAACCTCTACTACCCAGTGGATGTGCATTGAGAACCTCTACTGCACAGTAAATGTCTATCGAAGACCTCAACATCCCAGTAGATGGCCTTTGAGAAATGTTTACTACACAGTAGATGTCCATCGGGAACCTCAACTACACAGTAGATGTCCATTGAGAACCTCCACTGCACAGTATGTATCCTTTGAGAACCTCTACTACCCAGTAGATGTCCCTTGAGAACCTCTACTGCACAGTAGATGGCCTTTGAGAACCTCTACTACCCAGTAGATGTTCATTGAGAACCTCTACCATACAGTAGATGTCCATCGAGGACCTCAACTACCAAGTAGGCGTCCTTTGAGAACCTCTACTACCCTGTATATGTCCTTTGAGAACCTCTACTAAACAGTAGATAGCTATTGAGTACTTCTACCGAACAGTAGATGGCCTTTGAGAACCTCACTTCCCATATAGATGTCCATGTCGAACCTCTATTACACAGTAGGTAGCCATTGAAGACCTGTACCGAACAATAGATACCCTATGAGAACCTCTACTATACTGTAGATACCCTCTGTGTACCACACCATATGTTTGTAATAGGATCATCTACTATTCTATTAACATCGATTTCCATTAATGCCCCTTTCAATTCCTCCACCCACTTACCTTTGGATTTCATCTTGCATTGATTTAATATATTCGCATGCTTTGATTAATATCTGAGATTTTGAATCACTTGGAGGTGTACGCGTAGAGCCTACTGGTTGTTGTTGTTGCTGCTGGGATTGCAATAATAGACGTGGTGGCATGCTACCGCCAACATTGACAGCCTCTTTGATAAGCGTTGTTCCGCCACCACCACTCCCATTGCTAACCACATTATTCATATCCGAGGGTAACATTTCCTTCAACTTAAATATCCAACTATTGATTTTATCCCGACGACGTCGTTCGACTTCATTATGGGTGGCACGACGTTTATCATCCCGCTTCTTGTAGGCTTCCAAGATGAGGCTACGCTGTTTACTGGGATCTTCGGTATGGGCAGCAATGTTCGTATTCGTGTTGTTGTTAATAGAAATTGGATTAATATTCGAGATGATAGTTTGTTGTTGTTGCTGTGGATTGGTTGTTGTTGCGGTATTGCTACGCAATATTTGTTGAGCCATTGAACCACCACCACCCCCAGCCGTTGTCGATGATGATGTGGAAGATGAAGTTGGTGACATAGGTTCCAATTTAATGGTGGTATTATTTTTCACCAATTTATTTGTTGTTGTTGTTGTCAAACTCTCCGAAAGTAATTGCTTCGGCGGTTGTTGTTGGATCTCTTTGATGACATAGATTTCACAGCCACTGGACAGTTGCATGCTAGTTGGGATTAGCGTCGTGGTATTAGCGGACAATGTGGTATTTACGAGTGCTGTGGTGTTGTTATTGTTGTTGTTGGTGGTCAAATTGTTGTTGTTGTGATTTATTATGGTTTTCCCTGATTGATGATGATTAATAATACGATATTGTGGCACTGTGGTCAACAACTGGGTTGTGTTGGCTGGCTGCTGTGGGGGCGGCTGCTGCTGTACGTTATGGCCGGACGTTGTCGCTGCTGTTGTTGTTATGGATTGTGTGGCGGCCACATTATTCTCCTGTTTGATTTGTTGCAAAACGGAACTATCTATTAGATATTCTTCCGATTCATCGGAATTATCATCGCATATAGAAAGTAAAATGTTGGCGGGAAGTGCTGATGCCGAGGCATTGCTCAATATGAAACTGTAAGACAAAACAACAACAACAAAAAAGGGGGAGTAAACAACAACAAAATTATAATTTTATGCGACTTATCCTTACCTTTGTCCACCTATGGCCAATGTTGTACCCGTTGCAGATGCCGTGGCCACTCCCTGTAAACAATCATTTGACGCAGTGGGCACCAACTCCAGTCGGGCCCTTTTACGATGATTATCCATAATGGTAAACATAAGAAGTTATTTAGGCGAAGAAAGGTTTTTGTTTTGGGTTTAAAAAATTTTCTTTTTTGTTGTTGTGAGGGGGAGGGGGGTCTTAGCTGTTTGCTGCTTTTAAGAATAGCTGGAGATAAGATTTTCGAAAATTTTCAGAAATATACCACTAGCACACACACAATACATTAGCACAGATTATTTATTTTACGTTTCTCTTCAATTTTTAAACATTATATATCCCCAGAGATTGGGAATTTCGTTTTTTTTATTTTTCTACTACTTTTTTGTGGTTGTTTATTATGAAAAAAAACGAAATTGCCTCTGTCAAAGCGAAATGTATATTTTTTCGCTCGATTTTGGCAAATATTTTGACAGAAGGAAAAACAGCTGTTTTCGTTTTCTTATTGCCTTATAAATAGAGCGCCCAGTGTAAACACTACCATTGTCACACATTGTTTTCATTGATTGACAGCTGTGTTTTGTTTTGAGAGAGGGAGATGAGAGTGCAACTTAAAATTTGGCGTATGGCATTTCATATAAATTCTTTGACATAAGGAAAATGGTCTCAGCGGCGTGATTTTAACCGTGATTTGTTTTGTTGTGTGTGAGAGAGCGCCTTAAGGGGGCAACTTAAATTTTGGCGTATAGCATTTGAACAGATTGTTTTGTTTTTTAGATTTTTAAAGGAAAATCATGAAATTTAATTAATTTTCATTAGAGAAATGGAAATGCAAACGGCAAATAATGAAAATCTGACACAATTTATCGCGGAGTGCAAAGTCAGATTGGCAAAATTACTGCAACGTTTAAATTGGACCGAAGAGGGAGTGTTAAAGGTAAGACAAAATGCCGGGGGAAATTGCGCGCAAGGTGGATGTGAAGGGTCTTCATAGAGCAAACGTCGATTGCTCAACGCACAATGACAAAAATAATGTAAAATATTGGTTTTGTAATAGATATTTTGAGAGAAGTGGTCGTAATTTTGTTACCCATCAGAGCGATGTGTGTGAATAGGGGGTTGATTTACATACCTCAATGTCCCCATAAAAGGAAGTATGGGCATAATGTGCTCCAGGCCTAGAAATAGTGGAGTTTTAACATTTATTATGCACTAAATTTATATTAGAGATGATTTTTTTGTCCATAGTAAGGTTAGATTTGATTTGGGGATTTTTGTTTACATTTCAAACGTCACTTGGGTGCCTAATATACAAATTAAGAATATTTAAAAATATTATTCTTTATTACAGAATTTCAATACAAATTCAGAGGCATACGACTCGAAGGACATGCATAATGCTGCCAAACCCATTATACCTCCAAAAAAGGCCAGTTTTCCGGATAGCATCATTGGCGACAATTCTGTGACACTAAGTACGAAATGTCCTTCTAAATATGTAAATTTATAGTAAATATTTTCCGTTTTGTTTTCCAGGAACACCTGAATTACAAAATCTTTTGAACAACCCGAATATTGAAGCTCCACAAAACTTCAATGAATTGCAGGGAAATTTCGCCAGAGATGAAAAATTGTCGATCTATGAATATACAATAGAGAATACGCAGAAGGTTAATAATAATGGAATAGAAGAGGTGTAAGTAGTCTGAAGGGATGAAGTCTAGATTAGGTGATTCGTTCGGATTTTGTTGGGAATACGAGCTTCGGCGAACTTTGTAGACATATCGCTGGAAGATATGTTCCCTTAGAAAAGATGTTATTGTTGTGATCGGAACACTAAGAGCATGGAAAAATCCGAACTTCGCTTGTAATCTAGGGAACCTGGGGAAGTACTTTATTTAAATATTGTTTTAATTTCTATCTCTCTATTTAGACCCGAAGGCGTTACTTCCCTGGCGGATATTGTGGCCGAGAAGAAACGTGAAGCCAAACGTAAGAAACGTAAATTTCGTAAAACCAAACCCACACTAATAGAGGAAATCCGAGCATTGGTTCTATTGCAAATGCAGGCCCTGGAACAGTATCGTGGCAATCAAGTTGGAGGGAAAGGGAACAATGAGACTGAAAGTGAATCGAAAAACAGGACAGCTGATGGAGGAAATCATGACCACAGAAGGTCCCAACATTGCAAGGAAGGAGATTATGAAAAAGGGAATCGAGGAGGAGGGAGTGAACAGGATTCCAAAAACAAACCTCATAAAAATGAGCACAGATCTTCCCATGCAAAATACAAAGAACCCAATCGTGATTGTGCAAGTAATAAGGGAAGCAGCAGAACCATGCATGTAGCTGAAAATGAAAACACCAATAGAGGAAGGGGAAGTTCCCTGAGAAATTGTGACAGAAGAGGGGAGAGAAGAGATTACGCAAGGAAAGATGAAAGAAGACATAATCAGGAAGAAGCCACCAAAGGATTCCATGGAGATTATCATAAAAATGAGGAAAGAAAAAGGGATTCTTCCACTAGAGACTATGAAAGAAGTAATAGAAACCAAAGCCCTAGATGGGATAGTACCAAAAACCCCGATGACCTCTATAGGCGTAGGAGTCCAAAGGCAGAAAAATATGACAAATACAAAAATGAAGACCTCTACCAGAGGCGTGAATACCATTCGCATAATGAGGGTCATAGTAGTTCAATGTACGATCATGATCATAGCAGGAATAGGCAAAGATATACAGCACATAAAGCTGATGAAAAATCCGCTAGATTGAAAAATTTCCACAAGGAACATTATTCTCGTGATAGAAGTAGGAGTCCATATCATCGAAGAGAAACAAAAGACTACTATCATCGCAGAAGTAAAAGCCCAAATGATATGAAATCTAAAGACAAATATAAAGAGAGAAGATGATAAGAGGCACAAATGACAATAAAAAATATTTCGAAAATTTAATTTACCTTTCCATTTTTTTTAACCTTAAGAAGCATTTCATTTATTCTTATTCATTTGGAAATTCACTAGTTCACATACATGATGATTCCCCTCTTTCAAATATTCTAAAGAAAAAAATCGGTTAACAACAATTTACTTAGTAGAGACACGGGTACGTTTGTTCCAGGCAAAGTTAATGCCATAATTCTTGACACGTTCAGTTTTGGGTTTGTCGGGACGTTCAATAAACCAACGCCAGCCGTTTCTTTCACAGAAGGTAATGGCCTCTTCGGGTGAAGAAAAGTTGACATGCATATTGGACAATGGATCGCCACTAAAAAAACAAAAACAATAATTAACACAAACAAAAATGTAATCAAAATCATTTCCCGCTCCACTTACGTTGAAGTCCAACCCATCAAGGGATTTTCCCAACGTTCACGATTATCGAAATCAATTTGCCAGGTTTGCAAATTGTTGGTGCCACTTTGCATGGCATTCTTGGGTGGCATATAGATGCGTACACGACGTGTCTTAACATGTTCCTCGGGTACACCGGTAATGGGGCTGATGTCAACTTTGACGGGCACAGTAATGGTACCTTGCAATTTGTTTTTTTGTTCCAGATCTTCGGGCTTGGCCAAAGCTGTATCCACATCAATGACGGGGGTGTCGCGCATTGAGGCCATGCCGCGGCTCAACACTGGAGACCTACAAAAGGGAAATCGTAACTATATTCATGTTTTGTTGTTGCAAAAATTTTTAAATTGTTACCAGTGTTGAGTGTGCTTGGTGGCCTGAACAATTTGCCTCAGCAAGGACATTTTCTTTGGGCTAAATGAACTTGGAACAATGGGCGAAACAAAAGTTATTACATAAAAAAACTAATTGGTTGGTCTACTGTCAATTTTGCAAACTGCAAAACATATGTTTTGTGACAATGGGTGTGTGCTATTATACATTACTGCATAGCAAGCCGTTGAGAGAGGAAAAGAAGAAGAGTTTGCCGTTTTTTGCCTTGTAGGAGGCAAAAATAAATCATATCGTTGCATGTTATTTATGTGGAGTATTGTATAATATTAAAATAACGAAATTTTGTATTTAATATAAATGTAATATCCCAAAAAAATTAAATTTAATGAAAAATGAACAGACCGTATGTTATTAATTCAGAGTGAATTGCAAGATATCAAAACAAGACAACATTTGAGTGGCCATTGTGAGAGTGCAACTGCTTTTTGTTTTATTTTTATAATGAATTCATATAAAAGTTAAAAAGAATATTAAATAATAAAAAATATGTGTTAAAATGTTATAAAAATCATAATAAAGTTACTATATAATATTTTAATTTGTTAATAAAATCAAATGCTTCTCGTGTTTGAGTGCATCTGATAACAAGAAGAAGAGTGTGTCTGTTTTTTGGGTGCCGAAAAGGAGACACATTTTTCTTGTGATGCTACTTCTTTAAAAAAATAAATTAAAAAATTTATAATATCGCTTCCCAAAAAAGTTTAAATATTTTTATTTCTTAGATTATTTTAAGAATGGAATGTATGGAATAGCAAACAATGTGTTATTAGTTTACAGAGCATTAACAAGTGTCAAGAACAAGATTACTTTTGAGAGACCGTTGTGAGAGTGAAATGTTTGTCGTTTTATTTCCACAATAAATACAAAAAAATGAAATGATGAATAGTAAATTAAAGAAATACGTTATTAAATTAATAAAATTCATTATCAATGGCTACATAATATATGAATTCATTAATAAATGCAATTATTTTAATGAGTCTCTTGTGAGTGCATTTGATAAGAAAAAGAAAAGTATGTCTCATTTTGAGTGCCAAAAATGAGGCACATTTTTCCCGTGAGGAGTTTAAAAAAACTTATCATTCTATTCCGTTACCAAAAAATGTGTTAAAACGTAGTTTTATTTAAGGATATAGATGATTCGTTACCCGGGAGTCGGGTTAAAATACAAAGAGGACAAAAAGATTTGTTTGACAACTAACGGACAATGTGCTATTATGCATTTCTAAGAATATGCTAACAGTTCATAGTGAATGGAGCGAATATAAAGAAGAAGAGTAATTTTGTTTTCTTGAGAGAGCCAAGGTGAGGCAGTAAAGTTTGACGCATTTATTTCTTTGGCAAATTGTAACAAATCCGCTAACATGGACGATCGTGGACTAGGGCACAAAATAGCATCACCTCACATCATTGGGTATGCATTTCAAAGAATTGCTAACATTTCATAGTGAATGAAATGTATAAAAAGAAGAAGAGTATTTTTGTTTTCTTGAGAGAGCCCAGGAGAGAGAGTAAAGTTTGCGCATTCATTTCCTTGGTAAACCGAAACAAATCCGCTAAAATGGACGACATTGGAGTCACTGTGGTCTTGGACAATGGAGCCTATACTGCCAAATTGAGTTTGGCCTCACAGGATGATCCCCAAGTGTTGCTGAATTGTATAATGAAAGCAAAGGCCGAGTGACGCCGGGTATTTATGAATGTGCTAACATTTCATAGTGAATGAAGTGTATGTAAAGAGGAAGAGGGGTTTTGTTTTCTTGAGAGAGTAGGGTTTGCCGCATTTATTTCCTTGGCAAATCTAAACGAATGCTCGAAAATGGACGACAATGGAGTCACTGTGGTCTTGGACAATGGAGCCTATACGGCCAAATTGGGTTTGGCCTCACAGGATGATCCCCAGGTGTTGTTGAATTGTATAATGAAAGCAAAGGCCGAGAGACGCCGGGCATTTATTGGCAATCAAATTGATGAGTGTAGAGATGCCTCAGGTTTGTTTGGAATGTGTTTCCTTATGAAGAATATAGAAATAATTATTTATTGTTTTTAGGTTTATTTTACATTTTGTGTTTCCAAAAGGGTTATCTCCTAAACTGGGACATACAAAAAACGGTGTGGGATTATTTCTTTAGCAATGAAGGTACGGGCATTAATTTGGAAGATCGCAATATTTTGGTAACAGAGCCGCAATTGAATTTCGCCAGCATCCAAGAGACAATGGTGGAGATATTATTTGAGGAATATCATTGTAATGGTATCCATAAAACAACAACGGCCGAGTTGGCGGCATATAATTATTGTGCCGATAGTGGTGAGGAAACCTCTATGCAGGCCTTAAATTGTATTGTTGTTGATGTGGGCTATAGTTTTACCCATGTTGTGCCATTTGTACGAGGTAAAAGGGTGCTGAAAGGAATACGACGCATTGAGGTGGGTGGTAAAGCCTTGACCAATCACATGAAAGAAATTATTTCCTATCGCCACATAAATCTAATGGATGAATCTTATGTGGTGAATCAAATAAAGGAAGATGTTTGCTTTGTATCACAGAACTTTGCCGATGATATGCGGGTACATAGTGATCCGAAGAAACGTGCCGAGATTACTGTGGAATATATGCTGCCAGATTTTACCACTGTTAAAAGGGGTTATATCCGTAAGGGTAGTGGTGGTGGTGGCGGACAACCGACCGAGGATGAAGATTGTGATCAACAATCGATGCGTTTGTGTAATGAACGTTTTACTGTACCGGAGTTGTTGTTCAACCCCTCGGATGTGGGTATACAACAGGTTGGTATACCCGAGGCTGTTATAGATGCCTTGAAGGATTGCCCTGCCTATGCCCATCATGAACTGCTGCGTAATATTTTGGTAATTGGTGGTTCATCGTTGTTTCCCGGCTTTGTGCCCAGGCTGAAAAGTGAAATACGCGCTTTGGCTCCAGATGATTTGGAGGTATCGTTGATATTTCCCGATGATCCTATTAGTTATGGTTGGTATGGTGGCAAAGAAATGGCCAGTAGTGATGGATTTAAGGAAACCCTTCTCACCCGTGATGAATATGAAGAAAATGGTTACACGGCCAGTAATGGAAGATAATAAAAAAATTAGAAAAAACAAAAATATTTGTTTTTAGAATTTTTGATTTAAAGGAAAGGAGTAGTTATATTTTTGGTGCACTTATTTATTTGATTCTTTGCATTGTTTACAGTTTTCGTATATTTATTTTTTACGAAATTATAAGCAAATATTGAACTACATTTAGAGACTATTTAGTTAAAGACAACAAAACAAAAAATATAAACTTAAGCAAAAAAGCTCTATTACCTAGGCAACAATTGTGAATTTTTTCCGTTCACAGCATATGAGTAATTAATTAGAAGATACAAATCTCTAGCGTCCTTAAATTTAGATTTTATTTCTTTTACATTTCTTTCGATATATTCTTCTTGTTCTTTAAAAATAACAAACTATAGGATCACACACGATTCTCATTTTTTATTATTAATTTTTACTATTTTCTTTTAGTTTATATACTAAACGATTCGCCACAGCCACATGTGCCCTTAATATTTGGATTGTTAAAGACAAATTCGCTGGCAAGTTTAGATTCCACGTAGTCCATTTCGGTGCCTAAAAGGAAAGAAGATAGAGAACAATTAGTAAAAACAAATAGAAAGGGAGTTAAATCCATCTCCATCCTCTTGGCAAAAGAAATTCAAAAATTTGAGGTTAGGTTATATGGGGGTTAAACCTAAAGGTGGGCCGATATGTATAATTTTCAGTACGGAGATTTATCAGCCAAGTATTAAGCCAAATATAAAAGTTCAAACAATTCGGTTGGAAAATGTGTTCAAAATGCCGAAAACTGAGAATCCCTTATATAGGGACTATAACTAAATGTGGACCGGTATTGAAAAATTTTGGTAAGTGGATTCGGTAGTCCATCAAACCCAAAAATATTAAATTTCAGCCAATTTGGTCGGAAAATGCCTTCAAAATCCTTAAAAATATCGTAATTTTGAGGTTAGGTTACATGGAGACTATATCTAAAGATGGACCGAAATAGATAATTATCCGTAGAGAGAATTGTCAGCCAATAAGAAAGCCAGATATTAAATTACAGCCAATTTGGGTAGAAAATGTGTTCAAAATCCCGAAAATTGGAGTTTGGTTATATGGGGGCTCGACCTAAATATGAACCGATATGGATAATTTTTGGTAGAGAGGTTAGCTTCTTCATCAGACTCCAACATATTAAATTATAGCCAATTTATTTAAAAAATGCCTTCAAAATTCTTATAAATATCGGAATTTTGAGGTTGGATTATATGGGGGCTATACCTAAAGATGGATCGATATAGACAATTTTTTGTAGGGAGATATGTCAGCCAATCAGAAAGCCGGATATCAAATTTCAGCCAATTCGATTGGAAAATGTGTTCAAAATCCCGAAAATAGGAATATGGTTATATGGGGCCTATACCCAAATGTGGATCGATATTGACAATTTGTGGTTGAGAGGTTTTGCAACTCCATCAGACTCTGAGATATTAAATTACAACCAAATTGGTTGGAAAATATGTTCACAATCCTTAAATTATTGAAAATTTTGAGGTTAAGATTAAAGAAGGCTATACCTAAAGATGGATTGACATGCACAATTTTCGGCAGGAAGATTTACCAACCAATCATACTTCAAAATATAAAATTACAGCCAATTCGGTTGGAAAATGACTTTAAAACCTCGAAAATTGGGGGCACCGTTATATGGGAGCTACATCTAAATGTGAACCAATATCTATAATTTTTGATTGACAGATTTGTATTTAAACGGGGTGCCAATATATGAAATTACAGCAAATTCGATCAGAAAACTTGACCGAAATCTTTAAAATATCCCAAATTTGGGGTACCAATACCTGGGGGTTATTCCAAAAGATTGACCAACATTGGTTAATTTTAGTAAGAAGAGAATTGCCATCCAATCAGACAACGAAAAGTCAAATTGCAGCTAAATTGGTTGGAAAATGTTTTTAAAAAACCCTTAAAATACCGAAAATTGGGTGCTCCATTAGATGGGCTCTATTCCCAAAAATTGCCCGACATAGATAATTTTTGGTTTTACAGCCAATTAGACTCCAAAATATAGTTCAAAATCTGCTAATTCGGTTTTACGTTGCCGCAATGCTGCTTATCACCACGAAGATCTTCCTCGTCGCCCCCATCCCTTGCGTTGTACCACGTGATAAATGCAACGTAATAAAATAATAAAGACTATACATAGCTTTCTACGTCATTTGTTTACCCAAAAACATTTCACAAGTAATGGACATTGTTGTCCACACAGAGGCGTAGATGACAAATAAATATTGTCAAGTGGGATGCCAAAAAAAAACTCACCTAATAATGATAACTGGGCCTTTTTGTCAATATAAACTCGAACACCATCTTGGACCACTTCCTCATCTAACTTATCTAAAACGAAATAAAACAATTAAAATACAACTTCTCTTGATTATTTTCCATGGTTGTACTTACCCTTTTCTTTGGCATAATTTAAGGTATAGGAAAGCCCATTGCAACCACGTTGCCGTACACCCACCTTTAGGCCAGTCTAAGGAATTCATACACAATTAATTTCATCAGTTTTTATGGGGAATAAAACAAAATCAAAACTTACATATTCCGGTTGTCCCTTTAACAAATCCTTAATACGCTGTACAGCCGAGGGAGTCTTTAAAAGAAATAAACAACAACAATTTTATTATTTACATATTCAATTTGTCAATTCAATTCCCTCTTCTACTGCTGCCGATTTGACTTGTTATGAAATCTCAATGCAACAGAATGTTTACAATTCTATTTTTCGTCGTCGTCTTACCAATGTCAATGCGGCTCTGGTGGGCAAAAGTTTACGTCCCTTTAAAGCTCTCACTGTGGCTGTGGCAACAACTTTTGTAGCCATTTTTCTATTCAATGAAATATTCACTTAAATTTAGCTGGGTTTTCCTTACAAAGCAAGGATGTTTTCCTTTCGAGAAAATTGTCTGTTTTTGTTTTTATCTGTCTGGTGTTAGGGATCTAATTAAACAATTTATGATAATAATGACATGCTTCTTCTTCTTTTCGTGTGAAAGATCTATGAATTGATAGCCCTGCTTGTTGAACAGATGATGTGATTGCCAAAGCACTGTGTAGAGAGAGAGACATAACAGAATGTCAATCAGCTGATGGCTTTTCTCTGCATAATAGGGATTTGTAAGTCGATTTTTGACTTGACGATTAATATATAAATATTATATATTAATTAATTATGTTATTGCGGTTTTATCCGTAGGGCGTTAGAAATTTATTTGATTTATTAAATTAATGAAATTCTTCTTCTTCTCTTGTATGAAAATTGATAGCTTTGTTGTCGAACAGTTGGGGTGATTGGCGGGATTTTGGATACTTTATATTCCAATTAGAAAACTTAACTTAAAAATAATATAAATTAATTTATTTATTGAATTATAGCTCATTTCTGCAAATTTTTGCTGTATAACAGCGTAGAATATTGTAGAAAATTAACTGTTATGCACGATAAAATGGCTTGAATTTAAAAATTTTCCCTAAAAATGATAAAAATTAAATTTTTTATTAAATTACAGCTCATTTCTGGAAATTTTTGTAGTATAACAGTTTAGCATAGCAACGCAGTATAACAGTTTTCGAAAAGAGTTATACATTGAAATTTGCAAAAATTGTAAAAATGATTCAGATTTAATGGAAATATAAATGTTATTTTGAATTTTTTGAAATAATAAGATTTAATGGAAATATAAATGTTATTTTCAATTTTTTGAAATAATTATGACTTATTTTCATGCGTATAACAGTTAAAAATAAAACTGTTATACGAACACAAATTATTAGAAATGAGTGATAATTATTGGGAATTACAGAAAATACAATTATATTTAATTCTAATGCACTTATAGACAATTTTAAACACAGTATAACAGTTTTCGTGAAGTGTTGTACATCGGAATTGACAAACGTTGTAAAAATTATACACATTTAATAGATTTTTGTAAACTGTTATACACTGAACGAACGTGTTATACATTGCGAAAATATATTTTTGCTAGATATCGATAATAAAATAATAATAAATAAAATATAGATTTTAAACAAATTTTCGTTATTATAACACTTCAAAATAACTGTAATATTCTAAAAATAATTGTTAATCAGTTGTGAAAATTACATATTAACATAAATGTGAGTTATTTATGAATACCGACGTTATTTTGAGCATGATTTCAGTAATATAACAGTTTGAAGAAAACTGTTATACTCAACTTTTTGTTCGGAAAAAATGATATTTTTGAAAGATAATAAATATGGGGACATTTGGAGATGCATTACTGCAGTATAACAGTTTTAAATAACTGTTATACACTGACAAAATTTTTTAAAAAACTATATTTTTTACTAATAAATTTTTATTTATTTATTAAATTCATTCTTTTTAATTATTAATTACTTTTGATTTTTATTATTTTAATAATTTAATTTATTTTATATTTTAATTACTTTATTTTTTATTTAATTACATTACTCTGTTTGAAAGGGTTAAACCAGCCGTTTTTTTCCTGTTCGTTCCTTTAATATCCACGCAAGTGGCAATTTGGCGCTTTTTCCCCCCAAACTGTCATCCCTTGACAACACTCTCCATACCATATGTAATTGTTGTCATTGCTGTGTGTCTTTGGGTATTGTTTTCATTTCATTAAAAGAAAAAAAAAACTAAAAAGTGAACGATTTTTCTAAAAGAACCAGCAGAGTTTGTGAAATTTAAATAATTTCTTATAGTTTCCAAAAACAAAATAAATAAATTAAATGGAAAATATTTAAAACAATCTGTTGTTGAAGAAAAAAATCCATGCTTAACTCTGTCTCTCTGGGACAGTTGCTTGCTCGCTCGCGCTCTCTCTCTCTCCATTTAAGTGTATTTTTTGGTACTTGTCTCGCAGTCATTTGAAGTGTTGTTATGTTTATTTTGTTGTTGTTGGGGCATATCAAGAATAAAATTTAAATTAAATTTTATTGAATTAATATTTTGTTGTCATCTCGTCGAGAACGATGATGATGCCGATTGAAGCGGTCGTCGTCGCATTGCTGTCGTAGTCGGTTGTCAGTGTTTTGTGTGTTGTGCTGCTGTTAGTAGTGTTCTTGTTTTTGTTATTGTTGCTCTGTGAGATGTGATAAGTTATTTTTTGGGTTGTTTTCATGGGATAAGTTTATTGTTTGTTAAAAATAAATTTATTTTTTTCGGTATAGAAAAAATACAAGACAAAAAACAACAAATCAAGCATAAATCGAAAACGTCGAAAAAAATTTTAGCTGAAGTGGTCAATTTTTTGTTTTTTATTTTTTTTGGTGGTGCTGGCGGAATTTTCAATTTTGTTGTTTTGTTTTCATTTTTATTTTTCGGGGGAAAAAGAACAACGAAAAACAAGTGTCTTGTTGCTGTTGTGTGTTGTTGCTGTTTTTTAAAACGTGTATTAAATTTTATGTTAATTTTGCAGAAATAAAATATAAAAAAAAACAACCAAATAATTTGAATGCAATCATAAAATTTTGTTGACAATTCCATAAATTAAAGAAAACAACAACAAGTAATAAAATAAAAAAAAAACAACAACAACAAAAAATCACCGTCCAACATGGATTCCGATTCAGACAATGAGCATACGGTGCTATGCGAAAAAATCATCAATGACATGCATACGGTTTTCCTCAAGGACACTGAATTGTAAGTAAATCGAATTGTAACCTGTTTTTATTCTCTTTTAACCCACCTACCCTCTAAAAACCCCTTTTCCGTACTTTATTTTATCGTTTTTGTTTTTCTTGTTGTTTATAGTACTTTCAAAACATTGCGGTGGCTTTTGTTGTGTTTTTTTACTGCATAAATTTTGTATTTCATTTATATTATTGATGATAACCTTTATGAAGTTGTTTTCACTCTCTGCCTGAGCCGCTCTCTCTCTCTCTCACTCTTTTTCTACCCATCACACTTTTGACATTAACTCTGTGTTATCAAACGCGTTTTATTTTCACCGTTATTTTGTTAACACTACCCTTCAAAACAGGTGCCCAATCTTGCTGTATTTTGCACACACACTCTCTCTCACACATTTGCTCACACTGTCACATAACCTTTCGCTCTCTCTCCCTCTTGTTCTTCTTCTTGTTTCATGAAGCCAATAAATCACCAGTAATGTTTTTATTCTTTATTCATTTTTTAATGGAAAAAATCTCGCAAAGAAAGGCCTCCTCACCATCTGTGTTATCAAACGCGTTTTATTTTGACCGTTATTTTATTAACACTACCCTTCAAAACAGGTGCCTAATCTCGTTGCATTTTGCACACACACACTCTCTCTCTCACACATTTGCTCCCACTGTCACATAACCTTTCACTCTCTCTCTCTCTCTCGTGTTCTTCTTCTTCTTCCTTGAAGCCAATAAATCACCTGTAATATAATCACTTTTTTATTTATTTTTTAATTGGAAAAATCTTGCAAAGAAATGGCTCCCCTCCCTGTGGAATGACAGAGAGGGAGGTCAAGGTTAACTTTGGGTCGTCTTCATTGAATTGTAGAATGTAAATTGAACATGCATAGCAGCGTAAATAAATTTAAATTAAGGCGCGCAACAATGACGCTTGTTGACAATGACAGTTGTCAGAGTTGCTGTTGTTATTGTAATAGTGCGCCAAAATAACAGGCATTATAGAATGGGGTGTAAGGAAAAAAAATGATTTTTGAGGAATTAAATTAATAAATTTATAATTTTTAGGAATTTTAATAAGGAAATGAGGCGTAAACATCGAACTAAGCAACACATGGCATGTCTTAGATGAATTATTAGATGATTATTAATGTTAATTAGCATTTTTACAGAGGAGAAAAGGGAAATAGAACCACCCATCAATGTAAAGAGGATTTGGGAGCTGTAGGAAATAGGTTTTTAATTTATTTATAGGTATATTTATTTAATTATATTGTTATTTATATATTTTAGAGACATGTTAAAGAGGAACTTTTGAACACAGATTTTCAAAGATGTTAAGGAGGAATTTTTGTTATATGGTGTCCCAACATTCTATTTAGGATTAGGCATAGAGGTTTTTTGTGCATACTTTTTCCAAAGAAAAGCATCTAAATCATTAATTTTTATTTATTTATTTAGGATCTGGCATATTAATATAGTTTTTTTTGTGTATATTTTTCCAAAGAAAATTAAGCATCTAAATCATAATTTTTTATTTATTTTTAGAGACATATCCACCCTCTAAATCCTTTTGCAATGGGTCCTTGGGTGTATATTTTGCCAGATATCTCTTCATTTACCAATTTGAGTCGACCAAGAAATCTCTGTGATCCATTTCCTTCAGTTATAATTTCTTCGTTACACCCTAGTGTGTCCACACACACATTCAACCAATTGTTTCAAACAATTTAATAAATTAAGCTCACTTCGGACGGGGTTTTATTACAATTTATTAGGATTTCTTGTTGCAACAAACATTTGAAATTGAACAAATCAAGATTGAAAATGTGTACCCCGCGTCATTTAATAGGTTTCACAACAATGTTGTTGGAGGAGGAGGGGCAGAAAGCGGGAGGTAGAAGACAGAAGACCCTCCGCCACAATCAAAACACAATTGTACTGCGTCGTTACTGTCGTGTCACATCATAATTTATTGGCACACATATATATTTTTTTCTTTAGCCAATCAACATTTTATATCGTCAAAGATTTGTATGTATCTACATATGCGAGTACATATATCTTGTGGTTTTGGAATTTATTATTTTTTTTTAAAATAAAATTAAAAAAACCGAAAGGTGAGGTTTATAAAATCAACCTTAAATTAAATACACTTTTAAAAATATTGGAAATTCATAAATAAAAAGGAAACTATCTGCCCTTAACCTCAAAATAAAGTAAATATAATTTTCCATTGTTTTTTAAACCGCACCAAAAGACAATGCATTTCAAATTCATGCAGATTCCCGAAAAACCTTAAACTAATTTTCAATTTTTTCTAAAACTTTATAACATTTGCTAAACCCATAACCTGATTCTCAAGGGATTGCGGCACCTCCTCCCATTAATCCATCATCCTTAGTACATTACTTTAATAGAATATTGATTATTTTAAATTCATACCTTTTTCCACATTTCCATGGCATCTCAACACCAATCAGCATTACTGTAGGACCCCTCCCACAAAGTCTCCAGACTCACACACACACTTAAATATTTTTTGTGTGTTTTTTTTTTTAAATTTTTTATGATATTTTTATCTGCTGCTGGGTTGTTGTTGTTGTGTTTTTTTATTTTCAATTTTATTATTCCACACCAAGTGCGTCGTCGTTGACAATCATCGTCAATTTTCAATGTCATTTTGCATTAGGCTTAAGTACTAAAAAATCTAATAAATAGAAGAATGGGAATAGAAATAAGTAAGGAGATTTAATCAGGGGATTGGGAGGGAGCTAAAAATATGCCATATGTAGAATATTTGAAAGCTCTGGATTTAAAAAAAAAAATGGGAGATTTTTGGGGAAACCACTTTTTTATTTTGGATATTTTTTAAATCGAGGAAGTTTTCCTTGTGATCCTTACATTTTAGGTATGAGACATGTTTGACAATAATGTCGTGGACACTGTGAGGAAACTTTTTGTAGAATATTGCAAACCTCTAGCTCCACAACCAAAGGGTCTTTTGTGTGCCTTTTTCCGATATTTTCTTATTTTTAACCATTTGATTGTGAATCGACCAGGAAATGTTTGAGATCCATACATTTTAGGTATAACATATCCTCGGCAATATTATTCAGAACATTTATGGCAACATTTTTGTAGGACATTTTAACCCTCTAGCTCCTCAACCAAGAGGTCTTTTGTGTACCATTTTCCAATATTTCGTAATTTTTTAACATTTTATTATATATCGAGCAAGGAAACCTTATAATCCTTACATTTTAGGGATATCATGTCCATGGCAATATCATTCAGAACATTTAGTGCAACATCATTGTAGGACATGTTAAACCTCTAGCTCCTAAATGTTATTTTTTACCATTTTATTATGAATCGACCAAAGAATCCTTATGATGAAAAAGCATGAAAATAATGAAAATGGGTCATTTAAGGTCTTAAGGCACCATTTCCTAGCCTTAAGACCTTAAATTGGGTAGTTAGAGGTTTAAGATGTTCTACAAAAAGGTTCCCTGTACTGTTAGAAGTAATTCCACTGAACTTATCCTGCACAAAATATGGAAGGATCGCAAGGGTTTCATAAGATTTCATTAATAAAATGTTAAAATTTGAATTCCTTTGGGAACGCTGTATAAAAGTCCCCAAATTGAGTAGAGGGTTAATATGTTCTACAAAAATGTTGTATGTAGGATTATGAGTCATATTGCTAGACATATCCTATCCAAAAAATGTGAGGATAGCAAGGATATATCACGTTTTTCTTTTTAAATTGATCAAAAGAGTGATTTTTCGGAAAATGACCCGAATAGGACCCTAAAGACGGAAGCTACAGATTTACAATATTTTACAAAAATGTTCCTTGTATTACTAGGAATAATATTGCTGAACATATCCTTTACTAAAAACGTAAGGATCACAAGGATTTCATGTAATTTCTTCGATAATGTGATGAAAAATAAGTATTTTTTGGAAATGGTGCCATAAAGGCTTAAAATTGAGTATTTAGAGGGTTAAGATGTTTTACAAAAATACTCCTTGCAGTGTTAGGAGTAATGCTGCTGAACACATCCTTTGCCAAAAATGCAAGGATCCGGAGGATATCCTTAAATTTCATAAATTAAATGATGAAAATGATTTATTTTTAAAAATGAAAATGGGTTATTTTTGAAACTTATGCCATAAGGCCTAAAAATAAGTATTTAGAGGGTTAAGATGTATTACAAAAATACGCTTCTTAGTGCTAGCAGTAATTTTGCTATACATATCCTGCACAAAAAATTAAAGGATCTAGTAGATTTCTTGCATCTTCTTTTATAAAGTGGTTGAAAAATAATTCTTTTTGAGAAATGTACACAAAAGTGCTTTAAAATTAGTAGTTAAAGGGTTAAAATGTTATACAAAAATAATCCTTGTAATGCTAGGAGTAATATTACTGAACATATCCTATACCAAAAATGTAAGGATCGGGAGGAAATCATGAAATTTTATTAATAAAATGATAAGAATGAGTTATTTTTGAAAATGGTGGCATAATGACCCTAAATTGAGTATTTAGAGGGTTAATGTGTTCTACAAAAATACTCCTCGTAGTGTTAGGAGTAATATTGCTGAACATACTCCTTACCAAAAATGTAAAGATCGCGAGGATATCATGTAATTTAATTAATAAAATGTCGAAAAATTAGGCGATTCTGATAAAGGAGCAAACAAGATTCCAAAGTTGGTTACTTATAGGGTTAATATATTTTAGAAAAATATCCATTGTAGTGTTAGGAGCAATATTGCTGAATACATTCCATGTCTAGAGTGTAAGGATCCTAAGAAATCCTCGATTTTCTGTCGCAATTCATTTCCCTGGCATGTGATAGGGTTCACTAGTAACGTTTTTGGCTTGGAGGTTAGGTTTAACTAGGTCGCGTTTGGTAATGGAGTTAATTTATTTATTTTAATATTTTGTTGTTAATAAGGTATGGTTTATTAATTTAATAGTTTCCTAACTCATTTTAAATAGAGGAAGACTCCTTGGACCATCCCGTAATTAGTGGAATGTACATGAAAGTCATCATCAATATAAATCTGACTAATTTTTATGTTTCTTTTATCTTCCTTCCAGATCCTCCTTTGAAATAATTCCCACAGTGTTGAATCGCAACAAATCCCCTGTAATACATGTGGAACACAATCTGGGCCTGGAGTCGTGGTGTGCCAAACATGTCTATGATCATGCTCATCGTATGCTGATGGGTTATAAAAAACAAACTGTACAGCGTTATGTCCAACAAAGTGATAATCTCTTGAAGTACCTGAATGTGGCGCTGCTCATTAACCCTGATGTCACGGCATTTTGGCACATCCGACGGCAGCTGGTGCAAAAGAATCGCCTAAAAATGAATCGGGAATTGAAATTCTCAACATTGGTGCTGAGCAAAAAACCCAAATCGAATGAGGCCTTTGCCTACCGGAGGTGGCTGTATTCATTTCAGAGTGAGTAAAGGGATGGGAATTTCCCTAGATAGAAAAAAGATTCTAAATGAAGTTTTGATTTTTCTAGGTAACGATGCCATTGACTGGCACCATGAAATTGGCATCTGTGAACGCTGTGCCGATCGCAGTTCCAGCAATTACCACGCCTGGTCTCACCGCCAATGGGTGCTGCACAATGCACCCATGCTGATAAGAGCCGAAATAATGCGCTCCGAAAAATTCATGCGCAAACACATTAGTGACTACAGCAGCTATCATTATCGCCAAATATTGATAACCTTTGCCTATCAAATGTCCTACTATGACACCGAGGCACTACAACAATTACGTGATCTAAAAGAACTAATTAATTACTATTTAATTGCTGATGTCCAGTGTCCGGCACAAATATTAAGCATAATGCTGCCAGATGTTGATCAGGCGGCCATAGGAGAGGCTCGTCTCAAATCATTTCTTTATTGTTGTAATTTGGCGGCGCATGATATGCGTTTGTGTGATGAACAAAAGAATATGTACGGTGAGCGAGAATCATTTGAGCTGCATCGTCGTGCTTCATTAAAATTTATTGTTGAACAATGTGTCCGTCTGTTGAGTGGAGATTTAATGGGTATATATTCACCACCTACCACTCCTGTGCAGCAGCAACAATTCAATACGCATTTAAGAAAATTCGATTATAATTCATATGAATTTTTGAGGGCCCTGAAGAAGTCGGAAAGCCTGTTGGGTTCGAAGCATCGAAAATGGTGTTCATTGTTTTTGGGTTTTGATTATGAATCGGGTGCTGCTTAGTTTGAATGTCTTTGGGAATTTTATGTAATAGAAAAACAAAAGAATAAACCAAGATAATACAGTTGAAGTGCTGGAAGCATGTAATGATTTTTGAGGAAGGTGTTGACAAAAGTGAGGTTATGTTTACAAATGTGAGGTTATGTGACATGAAATTTACATGAAACATAAAACCCCTTTAAGATTTGTAAAGTTTTCTTTTACTACACAGCATAATGAATATATTGTGCAGGGATATTGCAATTATGAGGTGACTTATTTTGGTCTTTTGTCCCATAGAAAAAAAATATTTCCTTTTTCAGTTTTCTTTCCTGGCCCTTTGGCCTTGATTTCATTATAAAAAAATAAATAAAATAGAATTGGGAACTCCATTTGTTCCTTATGTAGTTATAATAAAAGAAATCTATATTGGTCAGGTCCTTAGGCTCAATATTTTTTTATTGAGAATATAATGAAAATATTAAATATAAATATAATATTTTTAAGACAGTTGCCTTATAAAAATACCAATCTTTTTTTCTTGCTTCTTCTTAGAAAGCTTAATGTCTTCCTAGCACAGTAACAAAAATACCAGTGTTCAACTTTATTGTCTAGATCAATGTCACTGTCTACAACAAATGTACAACCCGGCCAGAGGACATCGTTTAGGTTTCCATTTCCTCAACAATTTTTTTAATTTCTTTCTTCCCATGAAGACTACCTTTTTAAAATTTTTTGTCTTTGTTGGGGGAAATCGGCGACCTCAAACGACTCCCCCTCTGCTTTCCATTTTCAAAACAAAAGAGATTTTATTCTTAATTCAAAACAAATATCACTTTCACCCTTTCTTTCTTAAAAATTTTTAGATTAATTTTATATTCGTTCGTTTTTTTTTCTCATTTAACTTTTGCCATTTCACTCTATATGTAATTTTTTGTTATAAACAGAATCTGAATATTAAAATATGTGTGTGTATGTATGTTTTCATTCAATAATGAAATGAAATATTATTATTAATCATAAAATAAAAAATTATTGTTTATTTTTAAAATACAATATATTTCTAGTAAATGAAATTTAAAAAAATGTTAAGATAATAATAAACAGATGTTATATATAAAAAATAAAATATATTGTGTAAATTAAAAGAAAACATGTAAGAAATATATTTTTGTAAAACAAATTACCCCTTTAAGTACGAAAATTGTAAAATTTGTCAGCGGGGTTACCTACCTTTAGAAAAAAATTCCATATTTTGTTGATTTGTTAAATGGTTTGGTATAGATTTTCTTGTGATACTAGCATTTTAGGTATGTAATGTGTTCAGCAATATTGTCAAGAACACTATGGGGAAGATTTTTGTAGAACATTATTATCCTCTAACACATCCGCATATGGACTTAATGGCCCCATTTTAAAATATAACCAATTTCTGGATTTTCCTTAATATTTTGTTGCTTTGTTAAATGGATCAGTATTGATTTTTGTGATCCTTATATTTTAGGTGTGTGATGTGTTCAGCAATATTGTCAAGCACACTATGAGGAAATTTTTTGTAGAACATTGTAGGCCTCTAACACATCTGCGTATGGACTTAATGGCCCCATTTTAAAATATAAAAAAAAATTGAATTTTTTTCTTTATAAATTTGCCTACTAATTCTTAGGATCCTTATGGATTTTCTTGTAATCCTTACATTTTAGGCTTGTGGTATTCAGCAACATTGTCACGGACTCTATGAGGAAACTTTTTGTAGAACATTGTTATCCTCTAGCACATCCGAGTAAGGAATTAATGGCTTGATTTTAAAATATAACCATTTTTTGAATTTTCCTTAATATTTTGTTGATTTGTCAAATGGTTCAGTATTGATTTTTTGTGATCCTTATATTTTAGGTGTGGGGTATGTTCAGAAATATTGTCAAGGACACTATGAGGAATTTTTTTGTAGAACATTGAAAACCTCTAACACCTGCGAGTATGGACTTAATGGCCCCATTTTAAAATATAAAGAGTTTGCAAAAAATACCTATTTTGCTGATTTTGTCTAATTGTTTGGTATGAATTTTCAAATGATCCTTACATTTTACGCATGGAATGTGTTCAGCAATATTGTCAAGGACACTATGAGGAATATGTTTGTAGAACATTGTAAGCCTCTAACACATCCGCGTATGGACTTAATGGCCCCATTTTAAAATATAACAAATTTGCAAAATATCCTGATTTTGTCTAATTGTTTAGTATGGATTTTCATGTGATCCTTGTAATTTAGGAAGGGGGTATGTTCAGCAATATAGTCAAGGACACTATGAGGAATATTTTTGTAGAACATTGTAATCCTCTAACACAGCCGATTATGGTCTTAACGGTCCCATTTAAAATATGTCAAATTTGCCAAAAATCCCTATTTTGCTGATTTTGCTTGATGGTTTGGTATGAATTTGTGTTTGATCCTTGTAATTTAGGTATGTGATATGTTCAGCAATATTGTCAAGGTCACTATGAAGAAGATTTTTATAAAACATTGTAAACCTCTAACACATCTGCGAATGGACTTAATGACCCCATTTTAAAATGCAACATTTTTTGTGAGGTTAAATTCTTTAAAGTTTTTGTAAAATTTTCACCCCAAAAATTATTGTAGGATTGGAGTGAAGGTAAGAAATATTCTCCAAAAAAATTCAATAAAAGTCACCGAACATAAGAAATCGATAGCATTGATAGTTATCGATAAAACATGAGTACTAAGTTGAATATATTATTTTTTGAGGTTATGTTTTTAATCTTTTAAAGTTTTTGCTAAATTCTCCCCTTAAACTTCATTGTAGCGGATTGAAGTGAAGGTAGAAAATATTCATCATAAAATTTCACTGTAGGTCATCGACCGAAAGAAATCGATAGTATAATATGAAATAAGAAAATATTGAAAGAAAATTGTATATGTTATTTTTTGAGGTTATTCCTTAACTTTTTCAAGTTTTGGCAAAATTCACCCATTAAAATTAATTGTAGGGTACTGAAGTCAAGGGGAGAAATATTCCCCATGAAATTTCACTATGGGTCAACGAACACAAGAAATCGCTAGCTATAATATATTACGAGAAAATATCTGTAGAAAATTGAATATATTATTTTTGAGGTTATTTTTTTAACTTTTTCTAGTTATTACAAAATTTTCCAACTAAACATCGTTTTAGGTGTTTGATATTAAGAGATGAAATATTCTCCATAAAATTTCACTATGAGTCTCCGAACAAAAGAAATTCGTAGCATTGATATATAATGATAAAATATAGGTACAAAATTGAATATATGATTTTTGAGGTTAAATTGAAGTTTTTCAAGATTTTTACAAAATTCTACTACTAAACTTTATTGTAGGGTATTGAAGTCAAGGGAAGAAATATTCTCCATAAAATTTCATTTAAGTCGCCGAACAAAATAAATTGATAGCTATAATATGAAATAAGTAAATATTGGGAAAAAGTTGGATATATAATTTTTTGAGGTTAAATTCCTAATTTTTCAAATTTCAGCAAAAATCTCTCACAAAACTTCATTTTTATAACCTAACCTCAAATTCAACCTAACCTAACTTTTTTTTATTTTTCATATAAAATAATTTAGAGAAAAGGGAGTTTGAAATCTTTTGAAATCTTTTTTTCATTTCATTACAAAATTTTACTATTACAAATTACTAAAAATCCAAAAATAACTCCAAATCCTAACCTCAAATATTATAACCTAACCTAATTTTTTGTTGTTCAACGGAATGTTTCTAAATTTAATAACTTAGGTCACACATTTGCCGTCCAAAACAAATGATATATTTACACGAACCTCCTAGCCAACCAGCCATCGACTAGCCAACCAGTAAAATGGGGGTCACTGACATGAAAAATACTTATTTGTTTTTGGCGCCAAATGGTTGTAGTGTTTTTTACGCCAACAATGTCAATGTCATGGCGGCTGACATGACATTTTATGACAGAAGACCATAACTGCGACACTAGTTCAGGGTCAAATGGCTTCATTGTCATAGATAATTTAATTAAATAAATATTTATTATATGACACTTTATCTGTATTACAATGAAAAAAATGTGGTGGTGGGAGATGGGTTAATATGCGATTAGGGATATCATTAATATGTCAATTGAATGGTTGCAATGTAGAAAAAAACTATTCAGACAGCCTAATGATATCAATAATACAAAGTACAAGTTAGACCATTATGATGCCCGAAACTCCCACCAAACCTCATTGGAGGTGATTGAAGTCAAGGGGAGAAATATTCTCCAAAAAATTTCACTATAAGTCACCGAACAAAAGAAATCGGTAGCTATAATATATAACAGAGAAATATCGATGCAAAAGTGGATATATAATTTTTTGAGGTTAAATCTCAACCTTTTGGAGTTTTTAAATAATTCTACCACTAAACTTCATTGTAGGGGATTGCAATCAATGGAAGAAATATTCTCCATAAAATTTCACTATATGTCCCTGAACTAATGAAAACGGTAGCAATAATATATAGCAGAGAAATATCGATGCAAAAGGGGATATATTTTCTTTTGAGGTTAAGTTGTACTTTATTCAAGTTTTCACAAATTCTCCCACTGAATTTCATTGTAGCGGATTTATGTCAAGGTAACAAATATTCTCCATAAAATTTCACTATAAGTCAACGAATAAAAGAAATCGGTAGCAATAATATATAGCAGAGAAATATCGACGCAAAAGTGGATATATAATTTTTTGAGGTTAAGTTGCACCTTTTTCAAGTTTTCACAAAATTCAGCCACTAAACTTCATTGTAAGGGTTGGAAGACAAGGTAAGAAATATTCTCCATAAAATTTCACTATAAGTCGCCGAACAAATGAAATCGATAGCTATAATATATAATAGTGAAATATCGGTGCAAAAGTGGATTTATAATTTGTTGAGGTAAAAAATTTTTATTTTTTGAGTTTTTATTAAATTCACCCACTAAACTTCATTATATCGGATAAAAGTC